TTCAGGCCTGGAGATTGCTATATACAGCGAAATATCAACTCCAGGGAGAGAAAGAGAGTAACTGGCGCGGTGGGTGCACATTGAAGCTGATGAAATGCGGAGCGATACTGCAGTACTCACAAGGCGGTGTCTTTGTGCAGCTTGTGATTGGGTGATACCCGCGTCTGGCGGCATCACATTTTCGCGGACGGCATCAGCTCCGTCAAGTTGGCTCTGCGATCTCCGATAGACTGCCCAGCTCTTTTACAGCACGCGACCAACTCAATCTCACCTGGACGTGGAGACGGTCATTTTCTATTCCTACCAATACCCGTTTCCTTTGGCACGTCCGTTCCCATCGGCATCCATATTTTGCAAACTCCTGCTGAGCAGCTGGCATTGATTTCAGACCACCAACCATGAGTGTTCGTACTCTTCTATCCCTACTCCATTGACTCAAGCTTCATCTTCAGGCGTATACTTGTATTACTAAAGGAGTAAACTGACTCTGCGAATCTAGTTCAACCCTGTCAACCCCCGGCCTTTCCTCCAGGCTAGGTACGCACCCGGTCCCTTGTCGCTTGATCGCCCCGCCGCAATCCCATCCTATGACTTCCAATTCTATTGAAAAACATCCTCTAATTCAAATCGCAGAGTCGGTACCGAGCTCATCATCCGTCTGAAGTGGGGCCAAACGGAATACAAGGGCAAGCTTGAGAGCATCGATTCGTACATGAACGTGCTGCTCCGTGATACGGAAGAGTTCATTGATGGAAAGAACACGGGAACATTGGGTCTGGTCCTGATTAGGTGCGTTTATTCGGTCGCCTGCTATCTCGGGGGCTGGGGTTTCCTGATCCCAGTGCTGGGATCTGCGCATCTGTTACCCCTCTTCGGAGATACACTTGGACGCATATTGGAAGGACATTTGCTAACGCAATACGCTGATAGGTGTAACAACATCCTCTGGATGGGCTCTGCGGACAGCGTGGAAATGACGGACCTGGGACTACGATAGACGGAATCGGGCGCTATACCAGGCAAATGAAGACACATATACCAATAACTCTTCCCGATAAGATACGCGCACATTGGAAAGGTGCTCAGAAAGAGGCATATTGACGGATTTTCATGTACGGGTTTTTAGCAAGCTCCGTCCTCTACTTTTCTTTATTTCTGGACCAGGCGTTTTTACATGATGGCTTTCGAGGATTGATTCGGGGAAATGCAGTCTGAATTGTGCGGAGCTTGCTGGAAAATCTAACGGTCAAGGACATAAGAGAATAAGGTCTCTGATTCTGGTCTCCTATTATCTGGCACTGGATCACAGATATGTGGTGTCATCCACAGCCTGTGACATTCAATGTGCCGTTGAAAGCTCCTGTCAAGTACTTAGCCACATAGACGAATGTGATAATTACGAAAGGCCAACGAGTCGGAAGTATCTCCGTGTAGTGCATTGCGTGTACTACGTGGCCTGAGGCCAGTGTTGTTGTTTGCCTTGGACTGCCGCCAGAGAGCCTCTGCTTTACCCCACTCGATCATGTCATTCACATCAACATCCCATCCAGTACAACACCACCACAGACGCGTCTCTAAGCATATACTCTTTATCTGGTACGAAGTCAGTCTTCTCAAGCAGGCCTGCTTAGCCACTCAATGATTACTATGACTTCAGTATTTCCAAATAGTGGCCGCCAGTAGCCTCTAGACCCAAGTATGGCATTAATACTACACACCTTCGAGCACAGAGTAACGTTTTAGCTAGAAGACAGCCGCAGTATACAAGTCTAACTTAAGATACAACAATATACTGTCTTATGCGAGGCAGCACCCAAATAACATATAGTTGGATTTACCACGGATACTGAACAGTTTGGAGCAAACACCCAAAGATCAAATCATGAAGCCTTTCCCAAAAGCAAGCAGATCCAATAGCCGAGTTTCCCCATCAGATAATCTTGCTAATAACGCCAAGGTATGTAAAGTGTGATTGGGTCCGTTGTTGACATCAGCTGATATTGGCATAGGAATAGTTGCAAGTTATGGAAGGAAGAGGTCAGAGAAACGCCATTCGCAGCCATGCAAAACGAAAAGCTTTGGGCGTAGCAGGCCTCCCCACCCCTCAGGGAAACGCACACCCAATGCAGATAGTACCGCACTGGGCACAAACAGGGATATCGAGAGCAGGCGCTGAATATAGGTCGATAAGACGAACCATACGAGGTAGGTAATGTATATTGGGCTCATCGCAATCGATTTCCGCAGGCTCAGCCGAGTCAGAAGCGCAGTAAGTAGGGCAGGATTGGCACCTGGGCCACGGTAGCGGTACCATACGCCCCAGTGGGGATACAGCCACCACTTGAGGATGAGTCCATCATGAAGCATGCATAGCCCGATGGCTGTTCCAACCCACAGCATCAGCAAAGTCGAAATACTGAATGGGATCAATGTTTTCGAGAACCAGCGAAGGGCCATAATAGCAACTGTTAGGATATGAAGATTGAAAAAGATCACGCAGGAAAGCGGCATTCGGGTCTCACACCCTATCCTTCGTGCCACACTTTCCATAAAAGCATTATAATCAACCAACGACTTAACTTCAGGACTGATATAGTAATACTCGCGCTCGGCTGCCTCATCCTTCTGTGCTTGTTCTGCATAATCCGTCGGAAGCTGTCGTTCGTCACGCAGCAACAGTGCGATATATCGGCTCAGCATCTCGGCAGCAGGAGGAATGCCTCCCTGGCCAGGCCGTGCGTAGCCCAAAAAGAAAAGACAGTCGCCCAGCCCCTCGGGGAAGCAATGTAGGAACCATGATCGTGGGTTAGGCGAGAAGGGAATACCGTCAGGGAGCTGAAGCCAAGGAAACTCCAATCGGAAGCCATGACAAAGCAAGATGGCATCAAACTCGCGCCGTTGCCTTGTCCCATCTGGTAGGCTAAATTCACAGGTCCGCCCACTAACAGAGACAAACGGGGTTATTAAGGCCTCTAACTTCTCTTTGTCTAATGCCTGACACATTCGCGAACTTTTTGTGATAACTGTGGATTGATCACTGCGGAGGAACGCCGTTGCCAACCTTTCCAAAAACCAGCGCTCTCTTGTGGACATGATTAGGCCATTATAGAAGACGGCACGACGGAACAAGCTATAAAGATAAACGTTTTGTGCTGCACCCAGGCGATTTGTAGTGATGGCTTCAAGGAAGATGCTGACCGGGAAGTCCACGGTTTGGTTGGCTCTCATTTGTTGCATCTCATCAAGCCTGTTAAGGTAGCGAATCCCCACACAGGGTGGACGTCGCAACCACACTGTCAGATTAGGTGATAATTCACACAGGTCTGCTGAGATATCGGCACCGCTTTCGCCGCCTCCTACGATCAGGACCCTAAGCTTCTTTTCCGCGACTTCCCGCATGAAATATTCGTCGTACGCGTTGGAATGGATAATCTTGCCCTCGAATCCCGCCAGCTGTGAAGGTACATCATTGGGAACTTGGCTACCACCTGTTGCAACAATAAGGGCATCTGCCTGCAATTCAATGATGGATTCATCGTTCTCATCGCCTCTTGTCTGCTTGATCGACAGATTCCATTGTTTATCGTCTCCGCGAGTGGCCTTACAAACTTCCGAGCGATACCTGATATGACGTTCGAGATCGAAATGGCGAGCATAATCTTGCAGATATAGCAAATAATCCCCGGCCGTGGAATATCGCATGCGAGATGGATCCGGAAAGTCCGAGAAAGCCATCGCCCAGTTGGAGATCGTGAGGTGGAGGTTCGGATAAGCCATTGCTGTGGCGAACAGACCACCCAGCTGATTGGAACTTTCATATATGGTTGCGTCGAGACCTGCTTGCAGCATCTCTTTCAATGCTACTAAGCCACAGGGCCCAGCTCCAACGATGGCCACTCTTTTCATGATGGGTGAGGAGAGAAGGTCAATCCGCTCTTGGACTATGGGGCACTGCACCCACAAAAAGTCCCGAAGGGACCATTGCCCTTACTTATAATCACACTATTTGATCAGGTCACTTGATTGAGAGGTTGCATTGTGTGACAATTGTTAGCCAGTTATTATTGGACACGGCGCAGAGCCGTCTACAGCAGCTGACGCCTTGGGGCCTTATCTTAGTTCGTTCGCTACTGCATGCGGTGACTAAATGGCTGTCGATCCAACGACAAACCCTCTCTGAGTGGTTGTCCGAAGTGCAGATTGTGAACAGATGGTGAGCGCTAAACCATAAGCAGATCGGTTGGCGCTTTCTTGCAACCATTTCAGCTCGCCACATGTTGCCAAATATCATATTGTGCGTACATCGTGTCTGGCGATCTGTCTCTGCCCATACTCCATATATATTACCCGGTATCGAAGCCTTAGCCAATCCAAGCAGGCCTACTTTCTATCATTTCGCTTTTATCATGCCATATAGTTGAAAGGAAGCTTCTTGAAACCGCCAACTGAGACAACCCACCAATTCCTTCCGCACAGAGACCGAAGGGAGAGGTACGCGCTTCAGTAGGGTGTTGGAATCCGATTTAGCTTATTACCATAATGTGCCGAGAATATAGTCTATGGCAATTTGCAACCGAACCATGGGCATTTATGACATAGACAACACATGATAAAGGCCCTTTCATCATTAAGGATCAAGACACTGTCGGTAGAATATGACATTGTATACCGTCAATCGAAACACTCAATTAAATCGCAGCTATATAAATTGCACCAAACAGCGTACAGCCACGTGTACATAAGGAGAGTCGAAGTTGTAGAAAATCACACGATCGAGCCAGATACAAATGTAGATGAGCAATTCAACGGACCAGCCAGTTGCCTGCCAGTCATTTCGTCCTCAAGCCACTTCCTGCCTCTCACCTGCACTTCCGTAGATCTTATGTGTGCCCTTTCTACCGACTCAATCGAGGCGTAGTTGAGGCCACCTATGATGTGAGGAAAGAAGCGCATATCCGATAACTGAAGTCACTTTCAGCAAGAAAGTCATCGATTCCATTCTAATCTGCCTGAGCATATAGGAGCGGGGCCAGGAGCAATTCCAGGAGCTACAGAGCTAGGTTAGAGTCTTGTCATCTATAACCGTTTGGGCTGGATCATGTACATACCCATTGTTCAAGTTTGTCCTCATGCTCTCGGTATTCTTGGAACTGTGCATCCAGCCTCTCTGCAACATGAAGTAAGTATTAGGCTGCTCATAATTTCTTGGCATTGACCTACCGCTTGTTATGTATAGAACATCATCGAGCTCCGAATCATCTCTCAGATCGTTCAAGAAGCCTTCTGCCTCCCGGTCGTTGCCAATCTGGCTAATTTGGAATCGAACAACTATCTTGGTCAATAATGGATACAAAATGATGTGTGAGAGTAACTCACCGTCTCGTTTATACCCATACTTTTCCAGCACTTTGCCACACTCTAGAATAGCCTCCTTCAAAGTAGAGCGCCTTTCGCGTGACTTTCTATTCCCTTGAGGGTGACCGTCTGTGATGATGGAGACTAGTACGGGGCGTTTCAAGTTGTTCTCTCTCAGAGGCTTATACACAATATCCTCGAGAACCTTCTTCCTGAGGTTGAGACCAATCTCTGTCCACCCGAGGAAAGGAGTCTGCTGGATAATCTGAGATACCTCTTCCGATGTCGGTTTTGACATCGCTGCCGTTGTAGCCTGATTGATGAACCGCAATTCGATACCCTCATCGTCTGGTACGACACGAGTGGTGATGCTGGTGATTCGCTGGGAAAGCCCATCAAGGTGTTTACTTCGATTCTCTCGTTTCATGGAGCCGCTGTCGTCTGCTAGTTGTGAGTATAATAAACGGGAAGGGTGTGAAATAAACTTACCGCAGTAGAGCACAGGCTGATAGAAAGCTAGATGGGCAAGATCCTTGACATTTACAAGATTGCCTGGGGCACGGTCCAGGTCCACAGCTTTCTCTACAACAGTCTCGATGAACGGACTATCTCTGGGAAAGAACTTTTCCAGGTTATGTTTCTTCACGATATCACCCAGCTTTTTCTTGAACTCATCTCTCTCTTTCTCTCTATCGTCCTGGAAAGTGGCCGTCTCATTGAAGTACTATCATTATTTGAGAAGTATCAGCAGCATATCCACATAGGCCAGGAGAGTTTGCCTTACCTTCTTGTATCTCTCTTCGACTTTACCAGACAACCTAAATCGGCTGAAAATGGCATCTTTGCATACCATGGTAGCCCCCGTCACTGCTCCAGCAGTAGCAACTGCCATGAGATTCCTGTTTGTCCAGAACATAACCGCCATAACGAAACTAATGACTTTGGCCACTTCAATTGCGCGGGTCTGAAACCTGGTCCAATACGGCCTCATAGCGTTCAAAATGTGCGGTCGGCCTTGCGCCAGGTCCTCAGCGGACTTGTCATTGACTTTCTCCGTCGGGTCTGCTCCATTGTCCACAAGAGCGCTGATGACTCGAGGAGACTTGTGAGTCTTTACAGCCTGAACTAATGGAGTGGACCCTTTGTCGGATGCGACTTTCGAGGAAATCCTTGGGTTCGCGTTCTTGCTGAGAAGAATCTGAATCAGGCGCTCGTAGCTATTGGCTTTGTCGTTTCTGTGGTTGCAGGCTATCCATAGAGGAGGCCGACCTTGCTCAAGCCCATCTGGATCGGCGCCGTGGTTCAAGAGCAGTTGAGCTGTTGGGATGTCACCGTTGAACACGGCGACACCCAAAGCGGTCTTCTTGTCGGCGTCGTTGTAGTCGTTGGGATAGTTGGGATCGTTGGGATCGTTGTTCCCTTCTTGCAGCTGGTTCTTGAGCTCCTCCAACTTGCCGGCTTTGGCAAGTTCGTAGATGCTTGTCATGGTGAAGAGAGGTTCGTGGGGTTGGATATTGTAGGTTGAGTTGTTCGTTGAAATAGACGCTGCTGGCTATGCTACTCATTATGAAATGGGTTGGGCTCGAACAAACTCTGGTAACTGGAACAGTGCTGCATCAGGTCAACATTACCTCTGTATGCGATGCTTTCTCATCGGGCATCTTCACGAATGCCATGCTGTGAGTCACCAGACAATCATCTGCAATCGACAATCAGCTTCTTGTTTCAGATTCTTCAGCCTTGCTCTGTCTACGCCTTGGCCGGTCACTGCCTCGCACAGCCACATCAGAAAGATCATCTACTTGAAATTGGAGTCAAGAGGCAGAAAAGCATCTGTATTTACCCGTGCCAAAATGTTGAAGCGAAATGACCGCCCTCCTGTATATGACCTGCATGCATGCTGCCATCCGATACTAGCTTGCAGTTACTCCATTTGGGCAGGGCAGAAAGTCTGTCAGAGAGCACACATCCATGCTCGAATACGTCACCGCGGCAGGCTAGACAGCGGCGTTCACGATAACTTTTGTATTTTTCTTGGACAAAATTCAATCTTTTAGGCCCACTCGAAGCCCAAAGGCCCACTCAGGTAATAACATCGGCGACACCAAAGCAGCTGAGCTGGATACCTGATCCATGAGGCTGAGGCAAACAGAGGGAGTAAGCAATTGCGGCTCATCGGAAGGACGTTAGATGTTGTAATGACGAATACTGCCGAGGCAGATAACTATTTTGGTATCTAGTTGCCTTGTGAGCCTAGTGGCAACCGATCTTGACGATGCCCGACATGAGTGGCTACTGATAAGATGGATGCAATGTGTTGCTGCAATGTGATGCAGCGCTGCTACCTGAGCAGATGTCACTAGCCGTCACTTCTTCCTTTGGACTTGCATTCTAGTACTGATTAGCAAGACTAGACTCCTGTACCCGTAAACGACTTGACAAACGAGAGCCGACTAGAACTGAAGCCCGACGAAGTACCCCTGCTACTGCGATATTATAAGGGCTTAGCTTAGTATACGTCACTTCGGTTGGCGAGGAGTTTCTCCGCGGATAACGCTCCAGAGCCCCTCAAGCAATGCACGGATGCCATCAACTCCGTTTCAAGCTAATGGCTTCTGCAGGATGAATACATTGGACCTCTCGATGCTGAGTCCGGTAACTAATCCCCGATCCCCGGCGCCTTGCGGTGTTCTTCTTTCCCCGATTCGAAGCTTCAGACCCACTCGGGCAATTGACAAACATCAAGACGCCTTCATGTTTCTGGTTCCTCAGCTCTCCAAAGATCTAGTGGCGCACAGTTTTGACAGCCCCTACGGAGTGCTTACCGGGTACCACCTCCTACCAATCAAACCAACCACTTGATTGAAACACTCCTGTCCCTGCCTTACTGGGCCATATTCTACCGACCATATGCGTTTGCCTCACTTCTGGCAGCTCGGTTCCTCCACCAATAGTGCTGGGCACCGTTCTTGCATTTGAGCATACCATTGAATACCTAAGAGGTATGAGCACGACGAAGTGGTTGGAGTCCCTGCCCATCATAACATGGATCCTTTCCTGCATATGCATCCGTGTGCTCTTTTCCTCTTGCTGTTCTCTAACAGTTTCTCCTGATACCCAGACACCGTGGTGCATTGTAACATTTGTAACATTTGCTCAGGGATTAAAATAAATTGATTTCTCAAACGCTTCTCGCAGGGTTATCATCATCATACCCCATTGCTGATTGTCCATCTATCACATTCTACTCAATACCTCCCCTAAAAGAATGATCACCCCCACCATGAACTCAACCTTTATCCCCCGATCAGAGGAGATCGGCAACTCCGATGCGGCCGAGGACCTCTACGGCCTTGGAGTACGACTCGGGTTCTACCTTCAAGCCCTAGCCATGATCCTCTACATGTTCGGCGATCGCAAAACCTACGGAACAGGGCTAAAGATAGCCTCTGGAAGCATTACTGTATCCATCTTAGCCTCGTGGTTCAGCTACGCAGCTCAAGCCCAATTCAGTCCAAGCGAAGCAATCATCGTCTTATTTTATCTCACGAGCCTGTCGCTCCCCGCTAAATATACCCTTATCAACCCGCGTACTATCAAAGGCGAATCAATCGGCGTTTTTACTCTCATTCTCACCGAATTAGCTACTTGCGCCGCCCTCTTATGGACTTTTGCGACGCTTGTGGACACGCTGCCGCGATTAGAAACCCCTAATCTGGGTTTCTTCTTTGCGCCCGTGTCTCTTACGGGATGGTTCCGATACCTTGCCCTTGCCTATTTTGTCATCGATGCGACAACCTCGCTGATCAGCGTGAGTAAGATGTTCCAAGTATTGCATATTGCCTGGAAACCCGATGGTAGCAGCGAAAGTGAATCGTTAAGCTCGGACAAGGAAGAGCAAATTAAGGAGCTCATTATGTGGAAGGGATGGTTGATATACGTTGCGGGACTCTACTGGGTTTTCTCAATTGTGGCTATTGAAACGACCTTGGTTTGGAATCACTTGACTCCCTTGAACGACCTTGGATCACCCGGTCAATTAATCCCATTTGTGACGGGGGTCATTCTGCTGCTGGATAGCATAGCTGTCGTGGCAAGGGAGCATTTTATACGATATCTGGAGATGGCGAACCCCATCTGTGATTATTGGTTATTTGTTTTATGGCTCCTTGGTCAGGGCTATCGCATCCAACTCCGTTATAAGTTGTCTTTTCTACGCAAGCTCCCTTACCCGCGAGATGAGGAGAGCGGTGTATGGTTGAGGAATAAGAGCGAAAGCAGGAGCAGCTGCTAGTTATAGATGTCATCCTAGGAGCCTGTTGGTAATGACTGTTGAGAAAGTCTGATGCAGTATATAGCAAAGATGGAATTACAACCACTACTTCTACTACTCTAAGTAAAATGCAACGTACTAAGCTATCAGCGAACATAATAATCGAGTAGCATGGGAAGCACTTACTCGAATAGGTCTCCCGTGCATCCATTTTTCAAAGGTCAGCCCTGGGCCATCCAAAGTCCCCTCTTCTCGATCCAACTCTGACATCCCCTCCGATGTCATGCGCAAGGCCAACAATTCGCTGCCTTTTCCCACACCCATCCTTAACACGACATGGAACACATCTGCTGTCATCTCTTTCCTCTCAGCTTTACCTTTTTCTAATTCAGCGAAGCAGAGCGGCTGAAGCTTGTCTGTAAGCTTGACACCCCGTGACTTGACATCCCACAAGACCCACTGCTGCGTCATCCTGTCATCGGGCCAATCCGGCGATGCAACATGTTGAAAGACATACAGCGGGGCCGCAATTCTTGTTGGTGTTGATGCATATGCCGGAAAGATATTGAATACGGAGTTCAATTCCTCTCGGCCCCAATGAACCCAAGCGTATTCTTCTTCGGACAGAAAATTTAGATACAATGGCTCTGCCGGCTCGCCCCTTTGCTCGATAGCCTTTAGAGCCTTGCAACGGTGAAGGACACCCACCCAGTTGAAGACCTGCTGCAAGGTTTGTATGCTCAGCCGGGCTCCCATGCTTCCTTTTTTGCGTCCTGTCTTGCGCTTTGCGTCCGGTCCGTTATTACTGTTGTCGGTCAAATTATTGCTATCGCTGCTGGGACAGTTCAATGTATGCACCATACTTACTGGACAGCAATAACTGTTTCATGACCACGATAGGGCATCCACACCGGTGAGCCACTCACGCCCGGTTCTGTATCAATCCCATATTCCAAGCTATTCTTGGCAGACCTGAAACACTCCCCATTGCTTGATCTGACTCCCTCCGACATGTTATTCTTACCCGACTTGTCTGGGTAATATCCAGTGAGCTCCAGTCGTTCACCATGGAAGTTGCTTTCGCTGAGCGCCAATGAAAAGCCAAACCCCAGTTGTCGCTTTTCAGTCGGTCTGCTTTTGCCCTCTGTGGCTCCACTAGACTGTGAAGGTGGTCTCAATCCGTCCGCCACGTTCTGGATCTCCTCCGGCACGATGATCACTCCATAATCATTATCAGAATCCCGCCCTTTGCGAGATTGATTGTATGCAGGACATACGTGCCGTTGAAGCCCAGTCGCATCGATAGCACCTTTTCCATGGCGCTCGACAGAAAGGTTCTGGGACGGATTGTTGTTCGCATCGACCAAGTTGTGCGCGGCTGTCAAGATGACGTATGATTTCGCCGTAGGGATATTGATGTAGAAGCCTGTTCCAAGCTTGATATCGCCTGTTGTATATGGTGAGTGGTGCTGTTAGCCTTCCATCTAATCAAATACAGTTTCCAACCCTACCGTCTCTTGTGAATCGAAGTTTGACTACCCAGTCCTCGAGGGCCTGGGTACGAGCGCGGTTCAGCCCTCTAGTACCTTCATCCTGTAGCAGTGAGGTCCACGATGGGTCCCACACTAAAGGGTTGAGCCCGTCGGTGTCTTGCGGCATATGAAGACTGTTTAGGCTGTAAGATGTGCACAACTGACGTGGGTTTCAGGAACCTCGCTTTGTGGCGAGTAATAATAGTCCAAGATATACGTAAGTAGCCATATTGATGACCGGTCGACAAGTTAACTATGAGTTACTGACTCGTTGAATAGTATGTAGCTGATAGCAAAGTACTGCTATCTCGGTCACTCCGACGAGGATCCAATTTCGGGTGTGTATGCATCTACCCTGATCCCTGCCCTCAACCTCTGGCGAGGCTGTACAGCTGAGCTAATGCAGCTTATCCCCACACAGCTGAAGAATGAGATACATAGATAATTATTCCCTGCTGATACGGTATTTTACATTCAGCTCATTGTGCATCACTAGTTACAGCGACTGACTCGTTGGTGATTGCGCGATGAGTGTGACTACGCCTGCATTGCATGGCGCATTTCAGCACTTGCATACACCAACCACAAGATATCAATAATCGATCCCCTCATAATAGTTCATCGAAGCAATCTTTCATCTACCAGAAGCCCTCTACCCATTGGCCTTATATTCCTAACGCACTGTTCAACAGCCCATTTCATCATCAGATCTCTCACAGATCCCAAAAGATGGAAACCACACTCGAAGACATCGCCTACCTCCTCACAATCCCCACGGGAGCCTTATCTCTTGATGGATCCACCATGTACTTCGTCGTAGTTGACGATGGAATCCTAGTCGAGAGACATTGGAACGGCAATGAAGTAACCCGGCAATATTTCATCTCGGAGGACGTCGCGGAATCACCTTCTGCGAAGTATTTGCTGAGCGATGATGTTGTGAGTATCTGAAGAAACTCTTATAATACTATACAACATACATAAAAGTATTGCAAATTGACCATAGAACTAAGCGCCGCATATTCTGCCCCTCCGCCGAAAACGTCCTGCAGTGCTACCAATGGGACGAGTCCGAGGAGGAATGGGATGAAGTGACACTTGTGACTCAGGATACTCCTGCTGTTCATCCGAGAAGCAAGGTCAGTGGTTGCTTCAACGGAGATAATCAATTGATCTTCTATCAAGATCCTTCTGGTTGCCTCCAAGGTCTTCGTATTGACCAGGACGGGAACTGTAGCGCGCTTCCTCCTTTGTTGGCGAAGACCTCCGAGCGTCCTCTCGTTCATACTGCATATGAGGCAGATGACGAATCCATTCATGTCTTGTACTTCGATCATACGACGAAGGTGATTCGTGATTTAAAGTGGGATGGTGACACGAATTGGCAAGGTGAGCTGCAAACCTATCTCCCTTTGGTATTCTCGAAATGCCCGTTGACATATGAAAGACACAATCGCAAGTTCCGGAGAAGGCTTTGGCAATCACGAGCTGTCCTCATTCGTCAAAACCTCGACACATGAAGAAGAAACCGGGTTTCTAGCCATCTCAACTGATAACATAGTCCTCTCTATCAATTCGCAGGGTCAACGCGTCGAATTGGGGTCCTTTGATCGTAAGCGATTTGTGGCCGCAACAAGTGAGGAATGCATATATGAGACATTGACTCTGCTGAAGAATCTTGTGACCCGGTTCGGCGGGAAAAGCAAGAAGTAGTTACGGGGTATTAGTATCCTTCTGATAAGTGTGTCATGACAGCGTGAGTAGAGAGATTGTTATATCGCTAGGACTATGTCTACATCCATATCAAGCAGTTATGATGATTGTAGCCATGAATCACTCAAGAGCTCCCTTGCTGATTGTCTCTCCTTTGCGTTCCATTTGAGGATTTTCCGTAGGAACTGGAGGAATAGTTGCTGTGATTTTCCCTCCAAGTTTCCCTCAAGCTGTTCTAGAGATATCGAAGGTATCTCGACAGCTCCTTTCCAATTTCCTATTTCGTTATCAGTGATGTGTCCTGCAGAATCAGGTTTAGTACATACCCTCGCCGTCGAAGAACTTAGGTGCATAGTCACTGTTCTGCACCATTTTCTTTGGCGGTGGTCCCATTAGAGCAATCATTTCAGCGAGATGATGAGCATCAGAAGGGTTTCGGTTGGGATCTCGGGCATAGAACAGATGTCCTTCTTGGAAGATATCCCATGTCTGTTCCCAAATTGAATAAGTAGAAGGCATGGAAGCTGATCAAGTACCATAATAGCTAACAAAATTATCATCGTCAGGAGGGATAGAGGCATACCAGAACTCCGACATTCCAGATATCCACCTTTTCATTCCAAGGCATTCGCAATATCACCTCAGGTGCCCGATATATATAGGGCTGAATATCTCCAATGTAGAAGTTTGATCCAAAGCGAGCCTGACCAAAGTCACATAGAGTAGGACGACCATGTTGTTTGGTTTTTCTGAGTTTGCGGGATGCATAGATCTCCCGATCGCCGGCAATTTTGCGCGGGCTGGGATTGACTTTCTCTTCTTCTTCGAAATGAGATAAGATAGAAGTATCTTCTATTCCCATCATGACATTCCTTTCCTGGATATCTAGAGACCAGCTCAGTAGGGGCCCTTCTTCGAGAATACGCGAGGGATGCCAAACCCGTATGGACAATTCCAGCCTCGGTATGAAGACAATCCAGAGCAAGTAGGAGATGCATTAAGGTTAACTTGACTATATTTTCAGTAAAGTGGTTTGGCCCTGAGTTGAGTGCGAAATTCGTGTATACTCATTCCAAGGGGTGGATGGACAAGACATCCGAATGTGCCTTTTGCGGATGTGATCTGGAAGCTATCCAATGCTGTCCGGATAAGCTTGGCGCCAGCATGATCTGGCACACTAAGGGAATTCAGATGACTGCAGGCTGATATCTCTCTTCGAGCTTCTGATGAATCGCACTCGAAGACTTTCAGCGTGACATATGTGCTGCGCTGCCTACCCGTACTAAACTAGGTAAGACTTCCCATATCAATTGTGGATAGGGGTAAAGTTTGACCAACAATAGATCCCTGCACAACCAAATGGTTGAGTATCCCCCGTAGCCCAGTTTTCCAACAACTTTATACCGCGATTGGAAGACCTCGCCAATTCTGACAGGATAGGATCTCTCGGGCGAGTACCATGGCAGGGTTTCTTCCTCGAGCTTTTCGGTCGGGTCAAGGAGAGGGAGACTGGATTGAGAGTAGTTTCGCACGGGCCAGAGAAGACAATGAAACAGGGATCGACTGTAGTAAGGCCGTCTGGATAGTTGGGGTGACAGGTGGTACATCCAGGTCATGATGAGAGGACTGTCGAGGAGTATTGCGAATGGTTAGTTCAGGAAGTGATATCTCAGCCTGGTATTTCCGAATGCAGTCACATGATCCCATCCTCTGTATGACAATTGTTCCACAACCAAATGAGTTAGGATTTTTCTCAGTCTGATGCCTATTTAACCCCGCTATCTGTGAGATGCATCTGTCTCTTGGATGACCACGCTCGGTTGATCCATCTTAGCCTTGCCTGCAATCTGCAGATCTTGCTACCAAACCATCCTATATTTCCTGCGTCCGTCGGCATACTCCACTACATGTCTACGCTTCATTTTGGTCTACTTTCTGTCCTTCATCAGCTTGTCACATCATCATTTTAAACTAGCCCATCCACCTCCATCATGGAGAACAACGAGGAGTCCGAACATTATGAGGACTCTGAGGACTCTGAGGACAGTGACCTCTCGAACGGCCAGCCCGAAGAGACCTACATCTACTTAGATGACCTACCAATTCTGGCAACCTGTTACCTGTATGTCATTATAGTACCTGGAGATGGCGAACTCAAGCACTGGATTCTTTACATCGACGCCCCAACCTGGACCGAAAAGCCTATGGTCCACCTCGTCGGATCTCCAACGTATTACCGAGTCGAAGCACGATTCTTGACAAGAAATGATGAAAGAAGGATCATCAAACGAGTTAATCTGTGTGATATTCCGAATGCACAGAATGTGTACGATGATATCATCGATGCTGGAGAATGGGCAGAGATCGATAATCAGGATCCGAGCTATAACTCTCAGATCTACATTCTCGAGCTTTTGGATGACTTGGAACACCGAGGCATTGTCAGCATGAATGATCCATGGTATAGAGAGGGCAAGAGAGAATTGGAGGGAATGCGGCAGATACAGATTGATTGGATATGAATGGATGTTGAGCCGTTACTGTCTAAGGTGCTGTTGGCGCTCTTTGTTCAGTATGGCTTCGGATATTGAAAGGGGGTATGCCTGACTTGGGATATCTCGTGCTACTTATCTAGGAACATCAATGGAACCTTGGATTTGTTTTGCAATTTCACGTTTCTTAGCCAGCGTTTGGCTGTCTATATAGCATCTGCCATAGGTTCTATGCCCATCGGCACCATGCATAAGTGACAAGGCTAGTGTGGACCGTTGCCAATGATATCGAGACACATCAGGAACACACAGCCTCACATGCAGTTACTGGTGAGAACGGAAACCTTACTAGTCTTGTTAAGCGAGCAAACGCAAACTAGGGTGAGGGGTAAGGTGTCCAGCCTTTGAAGCCATCTTTGCCTCGCTTTTGCCCTTCTCAAACATTTTCGTCTCAGTGACTGCCACTGTCGAAAAAAAATGCATTTCCGAAAGCGCCTGAAAGACTGGACGGCGACTCTCCGTCCTCCAAGAAACTCCGGTCTCGATGTTTCTCAAGATACAAGTACTGCATCGGTGGTATCATCGCAAAATAATGATATCTCAGTCCCTCATGCTTGCCCTTCGAACGTTCCCAATCCTATCCCTTTAAGACTCGAAGGGCTGTGGAAGAAAGCTTACTCGGACCTCCAAAATAAGAACCCTGACCTACTTGCCCAGTATGAAAAGATCCTCCTGTCGAACGCGGAATTGGATGACCCGAACAATGAAAACCAAAGAGGTAATATTGACATTGATCCTCGACTCGAGACTTGCGTAAAAAGGCGTTTTGAAGCGATCGAAAAGTTACGGTGCAAGATACGCATTGGAGGAAAAGAAATAGAAGTCAAGAAGCAAGTCCGTCGTGTTGTAGGGGGGATACTGTCCGTGAAAGATATCATTACCGCGGCAGTGAGTGCGGAGCCACATGTCTCCATAGCATGGGCAGGCGTTTTGTTTCTACTGTATCCGTTGGCCGAATCATTTGATCAGGACGAGGACGCCATAAACGGTTTTCAAGCTGTATCGGACCTGATGGTTCGGTATGCATTCCTGGAGAAAAGTCAGGCCAAAATATACTCGAATTCCAGCTTCACGGTAGCCGACTCGGGTCATGATTTTGCTAATTTAATCAGATCCAAAACGGTTGAGCTGTACGTTCTTATACTTGAGTACCACATGTCTCTTGCCACGCACTTCGATCATGCCGGGTTCAGGCGATTCTTACATGACTGGACAGAGATCGATAAGTGGCACAGCATGCTAAAGTCGATCACGAGTCTCGATGAGAGCATCAGTCAGTATTTGGCAACATTCGCTGGAGATGATATCCAAAAGATCCTCAAGGAACTGGAGAATTCACAACGGGTTGTAATGGACTCACTCTCCGTGATAAAGGAAAATGTTGAGGTAGATACAACCATGGCCATCTGAGCAATAGGACCCTACTGACGTGCAGTGATAATGACAGGAGACTAAACAAATAGAGCTTCTCAAATTGCTTCCGCTGGTCGAAGATGCAACGTTTGGGTCCCTTGCTGATCAAAACAAACCATAATGCCTCGAGGGCACCCAGACGAAAATACTTCGTGAGATTCAGACTTGGGTTGAGTCTCCGGATGACTCTCAGGTATTCTGGCTCAGAGGAATGGCAGGAACCGGCAAATCTACAATCTCTCGTACCTTTGCTGCTGCGTGCCAGCAAGGCAAATCGCTTATCCCCAACGGGCCCCCTCTTCCCGTGAACGTCTGTCTCGGTGCCAGTTTCTTCTTTGATCGAACTAAGCCGGGGCGCAACTCCGTTGAGAAGTTGTTTCCTTCAATATCCAATAAGCTAGCATATTCATTCCCAGATTCTAGAGACAAGATATGCCAAGCAATTCTGGACAACCAATCCATCGGCAATCAAAATTTGCATAACCAATGGAGCAAATTGATTTCAGAGCCACTTTTGACACTCGATAAGGAACTTCTCCTACCTGTGACACTGGTATTGGTGCTAGATGCACTTGACGAGTCTGTGTCTCAGGACCCCAAGGGGGCTGGAGAACCAGCCCATGATATTGGAGGCGTCCTAAGGCTTATAACCACAGCTGAAAAGTTGCAAAATATTCGACTGAAAATATTCCTTACCAGCAGGCCAGAACTACGGTCTCAATTTTATGTTTCTTATAAAGAAGCTAATGTCCACGACTTTGAACTTCGAAAAATCCCAGTAATGTCCGAAGGGGCTAATCTTCCGAAAGACGACATAACCTTCTATTTGGAGCATCAGGTTAAGCGAATTGTATCCCAAGCCACCGTCAACTACTCTGAGTCGCTAGCAAAATCTATCTGCTGGCTCAGTCAAGATGAAGAAAGGAAGGTTGTCCGAACTCTTGCTGAGAAAAGCGATGGTTTGTTCATTTATGCAGCCACCGCATGCCGCTTTTTGGATGGGGTAGACTGCGACTTCGACGATTTGCAAGCACGCATGCGAGAAATATCTGGTTACAGCTCAGAAGTAGATTCACCACAGGACAATTTGGATCAGATGTACAATCAAATCCTAACATACTCTATACTGTATAGCTCGAGAAAAATAAAGAGCGAGAAGAAAGATTTCTATGAGCTTTTTGAACGAATGATCGGAGCTGTTGTTGTACTAGCAGAGCCTCTCACGATCGCGACCCTCAAAGACCTCTTGGATTTGGCTGGAAAGGAACCAAAAACTCGAAGACTTTTGAACAGTTTAAGCTCTGTCATATCTTGTGGGGTCAGTTTTGGATCACCTATTCAATTGCTACACATGTCTTTTCGCGACTTTCTCGTTGGCCAACCCAACAGGAGATGTCTCTACGATGAATTCTGCATTGACCCAAGAAAGGCCCATAGGGCCCTTTTCGAGAGTTGCTTAAAGCCGCTGTCGAGTACTCTGAAGCAAGACATTTGTTCTCTTGAGGACCCATCCTTTTTGGCCAAAGATATTGGTTCATCTTTGCTGGACCGCCATGTTCCAGTTTCCGTCAGATATGCTTCTCAATATTGGTCGCATCATCTCCAACAAGCTGGTATCAAGCTACTTGATAATGACTGCGTACATGAGTTTTTCCAGAAGCATTTTCTGTGTTGGCTCGAGGTCATGAGCCTTCTTCAAATGATACCGACAGCTATTGTTAACACCATCCAGCTTGAAAGTTACTTTGCGTCCCTACCGGTAGGTATCAAATAATTCGTATTCTTTTATTAACTTATTTGGCTAATCACTATATATTATTCCACTCAATTCTAGCGCGATGGGAGAGCCGGACATCAAGATATGGTATCTGACATGAAGCGTTTCATGCTCGCATCCAAGAAGGAAATAGAAAATGCCCCCCTTCAGGTTTATCGTTCGGCACTCATTTTCGCTCCGAAACAGAGCATCTGCCGAAAGACATTTCAGAGTTTGATTCCAAAAACCTTCTCCAGATTGCCTAAAGTGAAGGAGAAATGGGATCCTCTACTTCAAGAACTCGATAACAGAGAATCCAGCCATTGCCTAGCCATGTCTTCGGATGGGAAGACTCTTGCTGTCTTGTGCGGGTACTGGAAGCGCTACAGGATTAAGTTGTGGAATATAACTACAGGAACATTGCTATATACGATTGACTGCGGTGGGTGGCCTGAGTTTATTGCGTTTCTTCCTGGTGACAAGCACATTCTATCCTCTGGGGGGTTGGAGGGTATCCGAGTATGGGATATAGCTTCAGGGATGTTGCTCAGAACGATCCTCTTTGGGAAAAAAGATGCCTCCGATGGCGGATTGTGGGGACGGGCTCAGAGAGATTCACTCTCATCTCGAGGGTGCCTAGCAGTGGTACACCCCAAAAAAATGACCATTGGTTTGACCTATGCAGCACAGGGAACACTGAAAATGATTCATGTTTCTACCACTGTAAAAACCATCTCATGGTCTGCAGATGGACCCACCTTGGCAATTTTTCTAACTAATGGTAGCATAACATTCTGGGATGCAAGTGAGTCCAAATTCATACAATCGCTGAATCATAATTCAGGGATTGGGGAGGTAAAGGGCCTCAATATGACATTCTCCGCTACTGGTGAATTGTTGACAGAAACACTATTGGAGGATTGTGTTTTGCTTCAGCTATGGGAATGGAGGACGAAGACGTCATTGTTGAAGATAATTGATGATTCGCTAGACTGGAAAGACTGCCAGTCCCTCGACTCAGACACCATAATGCATTTCTCCCCAAGCGAAAAGGCTGTAACAACCTGGCATCGTTCCACAGGGCTTCAGAGATGGGATTATGAGACTGGCCAACGCTTGGTGAAGATCCCTACGCCCGATTCGAAAGCTCGCGTTACACTCTCGCCAAGCGGGAAGATATTTGTTGTCGCAACGGCACAGGCAGATCGCACTCCCATCACTAAGCTTTATGACTCGGCAACAGGCGAATGTTTGACGAGTTTGAGAGGCATTAAGGATGACCCGAGCTTTGTGTTCAACTCAGAAATTCGAGTTCTCATATCCGCTGATATGAAAGGGATAATTCGAGTTTGGGACCTATCTTCAGATTTGAGATCGGAACAACTTGCAGCTCCGCTGAAGTCTGACGGGAGGCTCATTTTGTCCCATGATCATCAATTTGTACTCTCGGCATCCACAAACCATATCTATCTTTGGAAAAATAGACCTGGCTCTCTTATGCGGGTAGTCAGCAGGAAAGATATAGAAGGCCTTGCTGAAATGTTTGGGCAAGTCCTGATCAGGGACTACAAAGGTCCAATTTTGACAAATATACAGACGGCAGTACAGGAAATGAACACCAACCAGCATTTAGATGACCTTTTTCACGGCTATTTTGTCGATAATCAGATAAAGGAAATCAGCTCAAACGGCAGACTTCTTGCAAAAGCTTGGTTCTCAACGGAAAGCGCTCATTACGATGACGATAATTTTTACATCACAGTACGGGATGTAATCACTGGCGACGTGGCTTCCGCCATTCCTCGCGGATACAATGGAGATCCTTATCTGTCATTCTCTCCTGACGGTAGGCTTCTGGCAATTGGTCATACAGATAGGGATTCCAAAGCAACAACCCTCGAAGTATGGGATGTAATTGAAGGAGATTTTCGAGTTCAACGAGATACGGGTCTCCGCGAGGAATTTGAAGCTATAAAGGTTCACTGGTCAGCCAACGGAACAAAAGTGGCAATCGACTGTCCCATCCCCTTTTGGAAGCAACGCAACAAGGCCCGCATTTTCTTGTACGATTTGGCGAAAGATAACTCAGTACTTCTTGAGTATCCGGGGGTCAGTGCTGCACTGTCCCCAGACCAGAGGCTGGTTGCGACCCGAGACCTCGATGGAAGAATCCTCTACTTGTGGGAAAACGTTGGAAACAATCTAACTCTGCTTGGCCAGCACAACGACCTGAACTTGAAGTGGAGCGTAGTTGGATCAAAGATGTTGAAATTTGAAGGCGATGAGGTGGTTATTACACGTGAAAATCGAATTGACGTTAAATCGTTTCTACCAAAGTGGGACTCGAGAACCAGTCGGCAGATACAGGTGAAGAACGGCTGGATTATTTATGGGTCAGAAAAAGTTCTCCTTCCTTTGCAGTACAGACCGCATGATGTGGTTGTAACTAAAGAAAATGTTTTGGTTATGAGGAATGAGTCGGGTGAGGTCACGTTTTGGGAGTTTGCTGACGAGGAAGAGGATTGAGAGATCTATGCATAGCTTGAAAGAACATAGTTTTCTGAGATTCCTAATGTGTTTAATTAATATAATTGTCTCACCGTGAAAATCAAGGTCATCTTGCAACTTGTGTCAAGAATCTACTATGTAGGCCCGGGAATTTCACGATATGAATAACTTTGTTTCCGCATCTGCACGAGCTTATACGGCAATCGCCCCCGCATACAGGTAGGTGCCCGGCTTTGTTTATTTCTATACCGTTGAAATGGGAGGGATCAGTATTGTTGATGAGAGGGGCGTAGCAAGAGGTCGCGAAGCTAGCGAAGAGTTGATGATATGCCTCGCTAGGGGAGACCTCTGATTGAAACTGTGTTGATACCCGCTGCGCGTTGACTACGAACGATAAATCAATCCGGGATCTGGCCTGTTGATTTTTAAGGATGACGCCTTCCGGAAATAGAGTCAACTGCCCCGAATAAGGAGGCCCTTGGAAGGTCAAAACAATGCTCTTGCGTATAATCAAATCAAGCAGTTGAATAGAAGATCTGCCCCTGACACTACTATCATCCTCCTTTCCTGCCTAGCCACCGACGCACGTAATCTCGTACACTAAAAAGTCCTTTATGGACATTATCAAACATAAAAACTTGAAATTCCGCGTCAAATCGATCCATCACACGTTTGCATATCATTAGCCCCATCTCTTGTGCATCTCTCTGCGAAGAGCATCACCTTGCTCTGCCGTACCTTTGAATTCCCCGTACTGGGAGTTCATACCCCATGAATTATAGTATCCTGCTCGGGAATCGAAGTCGCCGGAACGACCATACTTCACGGCTGTATCACGTGAAGAAAGTGGATCGAGATTGGAGCCTCCAGGGCCACCATGAACCACGGAACTCCTTGTAAAATATCCTATAGCTGCATCCACTGCCAGATTCGATCCTTTCACGAATACAGGTCGCAATGCCTCTATGGTGAAGGACCACCATGAAGGTTCTTCCTTTTCTTGTCGTGGTACATGTGGCTCAGCATCTGAGGCACTACTTGATGCAGCCGTATCCTGGGCCGAAGCACTTCTCGGTGCCTGTTGACTTGGAGGGAGGAATATCCTGCCAGCACTGGTACCGTGCAATGGTCGTGGCTCGCCGAGCTCCCGAAGTATCTGAGGGTATATTGTCGATTCTTTATGACAGTAACGTGTAACCATGCTTTTGGCTTGCTGCTCTAGCTCCTCTTTTTGAGTTGGCTCGAACAGAGAAATACTACTCTCCTGAGGAACGTCATCGACATAATTCCTCCCAAAGGCATAGTGTTGAGCTCCCCATGACCGTAGTTGGGCCCATTCCTCATTCAGTCGCTGCTGGAGTTTATCATTCTGATGCCTTAGCATAGCACCATTCCCTATCCAAAAGGTGGTCACGATTGTCACGTTTGGGCAGAATGACTGACCGCAAAAAGCCGTCAACCAGGCTACCATCTCTCTGTCAAACCCGTCTTGTCTGGTATAGTTATTGACCAAGTACCAGATACCGAAAATGGAGTTTGGTTGTAGCTGTTGTAACATCTCCGTAACTTGAAGGAATATTTCCCCTTTGTTGTTAGGCTCGAAGCCAGGTGTATCAACGATAAAGTACTCTTCCTTGTTGATAGTCGTATCGAAGATTTGACACAGATCGGTCGCTTGTGAGAGTCAATTTGGGATTCTATTGACTTGCTCAAAATGAAGACCTACATGAGTGGATTCCGCCATTTGACAGCCCCTCGGCTCCCGTGATAAGCTCGGTCAATGTGGATTTCCCGGCGCCTAGTCTGCCAACCAGAAGAATGACATTGGCTTTGGTGCCACTTCTGCTCCGTATGGCCTGGAGGCATCTAGAGCTGCGTGCTGAGTTGGACTCCATGGTAAGGTAAGCGTGGAGAGTGTCCCTGTGGTTGGAAGGCTGTGTCTATGGCCAGCAAGCTGAAAGAAGTATATGGATAATATGCCTTTCTAAGCGGCTTCAGGGGCCAGGCAAGAATTCTTATGTTCCCTCATATATATCATGATCTGTTGAGCCTCAGAGGGTTGCCTTTCTGCTGTTTGCTGGCGCGCAATGGCCCCTATCTGGCTCCGGGAGACCTATAGGCGGAAATAATGACACGTTCACCCCCTCTAGACCCCTGTCTTGATATCAGCTAGTAGGTTATTGTATAAAATGCAAGCGTTGAAAGGCTACGTCACTTCAGCCTTGTGCTTGACCACAAGGCTGTACAATACCTTCGGCTGAGATAGCGCTCGTTTCCCGTCTATCAAACGTTTGGCGCTGCTACTCGCGCCAACACAGCAAGAAGATATACACGCAGACCATCTACGCCTCGGGCAGGGTACTATCATTTCCAAGCGAATGGGCTGTGCAGATGAATTGATAACAGCAAAAAAATAGCGCTAACACCCTTTTCATGGTGAGTCTCGATTGTTATAAGCGTGTCATACTTGCTTCCAAGTTAGCTAGCTCACCGATCGCTCCTTTTTCTCTCCATAGAATTTTTCCAGCGGATTCTCTGAATATGTCCCTTTGTCTAACTGCGGAAGACTATACAGTAGTATGGTTCGCTCCCTTACATTTTGAGGCTAGCGCTGCCCTCCTCATGCTAGACGAACACCACGTGAGTCCTGTTCCGAATAGAGGCCAACAGCTATGCTACAGGTTTGGGCGAATGGGCAGGACCAACGTTGCAATCGCTTTCTTCCCGGATGGAGAAATCGGAATTGGTGTTGCCGGCTACATGGCCTCGGAGGTCCAGCGTGACTTGCCTAACGTCAAGACTGGCCTCCTCGTTGGTGTAGGTGCAGGTATACCTCGATATGGGCATGATCTGCGCCTAGGTGATGTGGTGATCGCTACTCCAACTGAGAACAACTCCGGCGTTTTAGGGTACGATATGGTCAAAGTCGAGCCGGAGAAGATCGTTCTCAAGCAATGGCAGAATGCACCCGATCGGCATATACGCTCCGCAATGACCAATTTCCGGGCTTCCCAGGAGACGCCTACAAGATTCAAGCTAAACCTCGAGAGGTTCAAAGGGACAAACTTCCCTCAACAATTCGTGGCACCAGCCAATGTCCTCTGTGGGTCATTTGGAGAGCAACGTGAGCCTTTATTCCACTATGGCTGTATTCTATCTGGGAACAGTGTTATTAAGTCCGCCGATCTACGCGACGAGTTAGCCCGTGAATACAAGGCCATTGCGATTGAAATGGAAGCAGCTGGAATGATGAATACCTTACCAGTTGCAGTGATAAGATGAATCAGTGACTGGGCAAATGCCGACAAGAACGACGTTTGGCAGGGTTATGCAGCAGCAACCGCTGCGGCGGCAGCAAAGGAACTCCTAGCATGTTTAGATGGGAGCAATTCGATCAGCTGTAAGTACCGCACACTTCCTTACCTGACCAAATGCATTTTCTCACACTCTTCAGACGGAACTCAAATAAGGGACCAATCTAGAATGAACAGAGAAAATTTGAAAGTTCTATTGGCCAGCAAAGCCGCCGAATATGGACAACCAAACATGGACTGGCAAAATTCTGTTGTTGATTTGCTCAAAATATTGAATCTAGATTCATCGCCCGGAGCAAGAAAGAGACTAGCACAAAGATGGAATATTTTGGTCGGAGAAAATGGCAGTGCGTCGCGAAACGTAGCTCTCCACAGAACCATCACCGAAAGGCTTGCGACAAACAACGGAGTGGTTCCAGACTCCCTTCTAAGGGGATTATCGGTGGAAGATTACGGCAGCTAGATTCGAGCGCTTCAAGAGACCAGAGACCATTTTCTCTTGGCAATTTTCTCTTGTCGTCTATCTTTTGAAAATTCGGACTCATAAGTATTGCTAGAATTGTACGTTGATATCTCGGTCATTTCAGAGCTTCAGAAGATCTGACAGCCCGGAAAAAGAGTGCTGGTGATTTATAATGGACTATTGATCCGAAAGTAAGAAAAATAGTCAAGCGAGGCCCTGAATGTAGATAAAGCCAAAGCTATTGTATTCTAGTTATCTACAAACCAGGTAGCCGGTACGTAAAGCTCGAAATGCGGAACATGCTGCGGGCCTACGGTAAGCAGCCTCAATTTGAAATCACTGATTTATACGATTTATTGTACCACCAGCTCGGACATTTCATCTACCAAATCCTACAATGAGGCTATTGAGTACACTGAATATATTGCGAACAAAATTCCATATACCCCTGACATGGAGATACCGGTATTTTGTGGCTTCTTTGAATTTATATAACAGGGGGTGACGTCAAGGCCCAAGGGTGCAATACTTTGAATAGTTTTCCACTAGAATCAAAAAGCGCTTTTACTCTTTTTCTACGCTAAATTACCTATTACTGACAGAGTGCTATGGGACATGAAGTAACTACTAGGTCATTAGGCGCGGGGTATAGGCGGTCGACGAGCATAAAAAGGAATGAATAGCCGGCGATGTCTAATCATCCCTCAAACCCCAAGCTGAAGGACAGCATTCCCACCATGGACCGCCTTACGACTCTGCTGCCTGAGCTGCAGATTCAAGTCATCGAGTACCTTGACTATCCTTCTCTAGTGGTTTTGTCACAGACAAGTCAATATTTCCGGTCTATTGTGCAAGTCCAAAGCCCTATGACTTCGCAACAGAAGCTATCCTACGTTTTCGTCGCAGAGAATTGGATAAAGTAAAGCATCTATGCAAAAAAAACCCCTGGCTACTTCTCATCGTCATGTATACTAACCTTTGAGAAAAGGAATGAAAACCACTTCGCCTGCCCCCGCTGTCTGAAGATCCGTCCCCGAGTTAAATTTGCCGGCCACCCAGTAATGCGTGATTATTGGAAGGGACACGAAGAACGTAATCGTCGACTTTGCCTCCAGTGTGATCCACCAAGGAGATACGAACAAAAAATAGAGATAGGCTTTAATAGGTGTGTATGCCTTTATTTTGACTTCTGCATTGGAGTTCTGGCCATCATGATGTTTCTTGTGTGGATATCAGTCCCTTCTAAGAGGGCTTCTAAGCAAAGAAATGCTTGATGTAGTGTGATAGAGATATGGCGGATCTGCAGGCAGTGAAACGATGAGATTGTTGCGCTGTAGTGGAGGAGAAGATGCGGAACGGAAAAGATATAAACAGGTAAACCAGTAAGGAGCAAGACAAGAATAATAATACACTTACGACTTTCTAACGTTGATGCTGATTCATATCTTCTTCAGGTCGGACCCTTATATACAGTGCTATCGTACAATGTCGATCCCTCTCCCTCACTATCTTTTCTCCTTCGCCGCCGCTTCCCACTCTTCCTTCGAACAGCGACAATTGGAGGATTGACACGTTTGATTCGAATGATTATATAAAGTAGCAATTTCGTTGGACTATAGTAGTCTCGCTACTCGATCGTCGCTTCCAATTGAAAATGGTTGATCTTGAGATAGATCATCTGCTTGAATTATCTGAAGAAGGCGCGGCGGAAGGAATCTTCTAGCAATTATTATTTGCAGTTTAGTCCTGGCGATGACCTGCTTAATAAAGAGAATTGCTCGATATCCCCTAGATCATAGTCCTCGGCATATCTGCAACATCGTGAGGTTATTGTGAATAGCATAGCAGATCGCAGTACGGATATCAGGATCCAGAATACCAGGAACCGTGCCATTTGCTGGCGAGGATTGCACCACACCTGCTGAACTAAAGATTGCAGCGTAGCCCATACTTCTCCTCGTTATTCTCCTAGTTATACTATAGAAATCTAGCCATTCGAAATATAGCTGGTTAGTTTGTAGCTGATTAAATTCGGGGTCTTGGTTGTCAGATCCAGCCTGGTGAGCTTCAGGTTGTGTATCCTCCGGAGAATGACCGCTAGGCCAACCGGTAAAAGATTAAGACTCAGAGCATGCATCCCTGATAAGATTACGTGAATGTGAGATTGGCCGGATCCTCTTCACATATCAAATATGAACCCTATAACCTACACCTGTCTTTAGTCAGTGCCAGTATTATTTAGTCAGTGTCTGAACCTGGAAGGTTACGAGAAAATGATAATATTGACAGCTTAATAACTTTGGTTTCTTATCTCTTAGTCTGTATTATTCACTGCTACTCTATGTATAGTTACCATATACTGCTGACAATTTTTTCCTTTATACGCAATGTTCCGTTCTTAGTCTTTTGTAACCGCTATTTTCAATTTTTGCACTTGGAGAAATAGCAATTGTAATACACGTAAAATCGTAATAATAATAACTGCTTCATATGATGATGTTTATCTACTATGCCGATTTATCGAAAATATTATTCGCCTGACGACCGCAAATCACCGGCTCATGACACCATTGGGCGCGGAGACGTGCCGAGAGGGACATTCACAGCTTCTCGAATTCATCCGCACAAGAATTGGAACATATACTAGCTAGTCGTAGTATTCGCATATTTTGAATGTCTCTTTTGTTTGTATTGCTGAGTATTGCCGCTAACAATTGGCCACTGATGGCATAATAAGTTGGCTTAAATGCAGACACTTTTCCCTTGAATCTCTTTGTTTTTTTGTTCATTCATTGCCAATAATTTGAATCTGCTTCTCTCCCATTCGTTGTTTGGCCAATCCTTCACTACAATCAGCTTTCGTCGCTTTCTGTTGTTTGTTCTTCCGAAGACATGCAGCACTACTCAAAACCCTGTTCAGCATGCAGCTGGTCCCCTGAACGACAGGAGGGTTGCCGCTACGAAAGTAACGTTAAGATCATCCATGCGATGAGCGACAGAGGCGTATGGTCCTTGGGTTCGAATCTGATCTTGAAGGAACGTTCTAATCAAGCACCCAACTTTGAAGCCGAGAATCTGCGGTTCTTGAGGGAAAATACCTCGATCCCAGTGCCCAGTGTGGTTGAAGATTGGGAAGAGCCTAATGGGCACTACTTCGTGTTGACGAAGCGGATTCCCGGCGTCCCCCTCAGCAGCCTCTGGCCGCGCATGAAGATGGATGATAAGGAACGTATAGCCAAACAAACTGCCGACTATCTAATGCAACTTCGCGAGTTGCATTCCAACCGGATGGAGTCCCTTGGGGGTAAGCCAATATATTCTACTTTTCTCTTCCGAAGGGGTCATGGTATTCCACACGGCCCTTTGGCGTCTGACGACGACCTTTGGGCCGAGTTGGAGGTGGCTCTTGAACATGTGCCTGTTGAAACTCGTCAGCGACTTCGGCAACGCATGCCGTCTGCAGCGCCGTATACATTTACGCATGGAAATCTCACTTCTGCCAATATCATGGTCGAGAATGGTAGTCTTACTGGCATACTTGACTGGGAGGCTTCGGGGTATTTTCCGGTCTGGTGGGAATTTACCTGTGCTGGGATTGGTCTGGGGGAAGAGGACAGAGATTGGAGGGACCTGTTGCAGGAGTACATGCCTGATTTATCTGAGGCTCGCGAATGGTGGTTGGATTATTGGTCTTTGACAAGGTACCCCAACCGGAATGAGAGGGCAACGGCTCTTCTCGAGCACAAGGAGAGTATCAGTTCTGCGTAGACTTCCCAATACAATGTTACTTTCACAATGATACTGGTCGCGCTAGTTCCTCTGAAAGCATAGTCGTAAGCCCCAAGAATGGAATGGAAAGCTCGAGGGAACATACACCTGATTAAGGAGAATACGTTTCGCTACGCCGGGTATGTGGCGATGTCCCCCAATACAAAATATAGTGGCTCCTAGCAGCTCAACACCGTTCCTTCCCTTCAGTAGATAGTAATCTGACCCTTCATCCAGTCACTTGTTGATTTGTAGCTGTTATACTCTGGTATTTGTGAACGAACTTTAGCACCTCACACTGGTCTTTCGTAGTCCGCATAGACGCGTAATGTAAAAGCTAACTCAGTCGAATTCTTGCTTTTAATCTCAGTTAGTCATTATAATGTCGAATGGTGCCGCACTGACAGAAAGAGCTGTACAGGCATGGTTTGTTTAAGTTTGCGTCATGATTTAAGGACCAGTTGAAGGGTTCCTCATCTTCGAAGGTATAACTGAGCAGTGAGTTGCATATTATGAAGGAAGAAATCAAATCTCTTAGACCCGCACCAACAGATATGGGGCAAAGTGATTTATATCTATATTGAGATTTCACCCACGAGACAGTAATCGTATGTGGAGTCAGTGGTTGGTGGAGATGTGCGGGGAGAAGAGGTGCTGATTAAAATATTATGTAATCTGATGAGATGCTGTGGCATCGTAGGCATCACATGATGTTCTTGATATGGAAGTAGACAAGAAACAGTGAGTAGTGATGTTCAATATTATAATCCAAGGTTCGACTTCTTATGTCTATGCCAGTATCGGTGAGGCCACATCGGCTTCTACCCGTTTAGGAAGGGCTGCGAGAAAGTGAGAAGAGGGCAGCCATATGAACTGACCGATGAATTCATAAGACTACGGGGGTCTGTCTCCGATTGACCTTGATTGAGGGTAATTTATTTAGTATTGTGATTATTCGATTATCGTGCGGACCAGCCAAATGCTAACACACATCTGATCATCTAATTGTGTGTTGGCATCTGATGGATACCCATCACTTCATCATCTCGTGCAGCGAGGTATAAGCCATGGTATGATCCCATGGATCCTAGCACATGTCCAGCGCCATAACCGCAGCTGGCGAGATAAATAGAAGCACTGTTTATTCAACATTATTAATGGCATGGGTAGAGAGTTTAGTAACATCTCTGAGATTAAAAGAGGAAGTAGACCGGGTGGATCTGCATTCAAGCGAAAGCTACCGCACACACACTTATCTAGCTGCATGTCTAGTCGAACAACACATGTGCAGGATCTAATCAGGTTGCAGTCGGGAAAGCCAAAAGGGAGCCGGTCATCATATACCTCTGTTCCTGACTGAAGACCGAATATACTCCGTGAGTATCTTGCAGGTAACTTTTTGGGTTATGGTGCCTGAGGTACCAATAGACACCTTATTGGTAGCAGATGCATTCCTCGAGTTAGTAGAAGCCATTTCAATAGCTCTCATCTATAACAGTAAAAGCTGTCCATCTGAGCTCCAGCCAAGCAGGTCCTCGAAGGATTGAAATCCGAAACACCGCTTCATCGGCGGGGGAGAATTCATCAATCGGGGATCCGCCGAGCTCCACCGATGGCGAAAAGCCAGAGTCCACCGAGCGTCGCCTCGCCCGATCGAGCAAGCTTGCCGAATCGCGGATCCACGAGGGTCATGGCTGGTTGCAATGTTGATGTGATGATTGATTCATTCAATGTGAATTGCTCTGCTAGAAAGCCATTGAGTACTTTTGCAAAAGCAATTGGAGGGTACAGGGTGGGCTGTAGATCGCATGCATGTGACATCACGGGATTGAGGGGAGGCAGTCGAGGGTTTCTTCCATCGGCGAATTCCAGTCCTCACAGCTTCCCCGTCATACCGCTGGTTGCTCTTTGGCAGCTCTGGGCAACTGCTTCATTTTTCCTACTACAGCCTACAGCTCTCTCTACTCTACACCTGTACCTCCATAGAGATTGAACGTTCCTGAGGACTGTGGTGACCCCGCGACGAGGCTACTTGCCCATTGATCTACATCACCACGATCGTCAACGCAACGGACACAGACTCCCAGGCTGCAGAACAATGCATCCATCTGCAGCAATGGAACAGCCGAGAGGGGTAATTTTCCACCACCTGCACCTCCGGCAAAATAAGAATCAGCATTGCCCCCTCCCGCGCGATGGAGCCTCTGTCTCGCGACTCCACCGGCCCGTCAGCGCCTTGAATGGCGGTGGCGACAAGCGACTGCGGGTACACACACCGTGATCGAATTTTCCACCGCCATCGTCCATGCGCCCTCCCCCGCGACTGTGATCTCCGCTTCGCAACGGATTCGGTGCTTTCTCGCCCCTACAACCGCGGAACCCGACGATGCTATCCGCAGTGGGGAGGACACAGCACAGCGGTGGCACGTCATGCCTCGCAGCAAATAATTGTAGTGGATGGGTTGACAATGGGTTGTGTCGATACGGACTCCATTGCCCCTTATGGAACCCTTCTGGATCAACCATGGATGGAGCAGGTCAACCGATGCCACTGGTGATCCACGACCCTTCCGCCAGCTGCCGTCCATTGGCCCGCACGATGGATCGGCTCCCATCCTAAGGCTGGCAAAGTTCACCAACGCTGTGGATTTTGCAAAACTCAGTTCCCCTATCTTAGGTTATCGACGTGTGCGGCCACCCTTAAATCCCCCGGACTTCCGGTGGCTGCTCCCTTGGCTTTGCTCCCCCAGATGCATTGAATTCAGTTTCAATTGCTGATCCCCCTTCACTATGTCTCTCCCACTTCCCAATGACATTCTCCTCCAGGTCGGGGAGTATGTGGAAGACTGTCGGGACCGCTACAACCTTCTCTTTGTTTGCCGTCATTTTCACGACCTGTTCCTGCGCTTGGTCTACCAAGCAGCAGCCTTGAAGGACTGCTCCCAGACCCGTTCCTTCTTGGGAGCTCTACTCCGTCGTCCCGAGCTGGCTCGGGCGGTTCGCACCTTAGACTTCCATGACTGGTGTCCTAGATCCACTTCCACTCCTTCCTCCCCCCTCTCCGACGAAGACCTGGCGCCATTTGCCCAATTGGCCCACGCCCTCAGTCAAACCGCTGAAGAACACACGAAATGGGAGCAGGATCTCCGGGATAATGTTGAAGAGGCTTGGATCGCGCTTCTCCTGCCGCTGGCGAGCAATCTGAGGCATTTGCAATTGGTATACCCCAAGCAGAATGTCTACCTGGACCGCATGATGCAGCGGGCAGTGAGGGGAGAGAAGCCCTTCGACGACCAGCCGGCATTCCGTGTATTGCGCGATGTGTCGCTGAGCCATTTAGCTGACGAGGAAGACAGCCGAGGAAGCTACTTGCCTTCTCAGGTCCTTCCTTTCTTTCAATTGCCATCCATGCGGGCGTTCTCGGCAGACTCGGTGGTTGAGTCTACCCGCCCACGCGACGATGAGCCTGAACCAACCGGACCTGCTGAGGAACCGACGGCCGGCTCTTCCTCCATTGCTGAGATTACACTGAATACGAGCAGCGGATCACAGGGCATGCAGAGCCTGATCGCCTCATGCTCCTCGCTTCAATCGTTCAAGTACCAGCATTCCGATTCACACCTGCTCGCAGAGGGGTTCCAGCCTTCTGCATTCTTCGAGTCCCTTGCGAGCAGTAAGAGCAGCCTGCACACCCTGTGGCTGGACAATTGCGGCACCCACTTGCCTTTCACCATTGCTGGAGCGAACGAAACGCATGACGAGTGGTTCGGGCCTCTGACAGAGTTCACTGCGTTGAAGGATATCCGCATCCGTCTGCCCAACCTGCTCGATGTTCGCTACCAGTATGAACCGTCGTGTCCACTCACCGATGTGCTTCCAGCGTCGGTCGAATCGTTGTATGTGGAAGGCTGCAAGGAGAACTCTTTGGCTATGCTGGTTGGACAGCTGCAAAAGGTCCTTAACAAGCGCAAGACTCAATTCAAGGGTTTGCGACGACTCGATGTTGAAGGTTTCTTTCATGACGAGGAGGACGAGGACGCGTCGGGCTACCAGCCGGCGGAGGCCGCCGGCGAGAAAGTGATCAAACCCCGGGTGTATCAGACGGTAGAGCCGCTGCACCGTGCCTGTGCCGAGGCTGGGATTGAACTCTACGTGCGCGACCGCGTGTGCTTGGCGACGATGCAAGAAGCATAACATCATTGATACGACCCGAGACGATGATAGAAGATAGAGGATAGATGATAGACTTACGTTGCGCACAATACCCATAGACAACTGCTTTCGGTCTCTTGATTTGGAATAATGCGTTGATTAGCTAGATTTTTACATGATTTGGAATTATTGCGAATTGAATGATTGCATTGAATCGATTACTTTTGGCTTGACAAATACCTTACTCAGCAGTAGGACTAAAGCTTCGACATCCACAATTCTTGAGGCCAAATTGGATGGGAGGGTTACATCGTTCTGACACTGTAGGGCTCTACATGATAGGTTCTGAACATCCCCGAAAACTTTACAAGTCATCTGTAGTCGCTCGTCCGCCGTAATCCGCGATATGCTTGGATAGAGGCACTGAATACCTTCGGCTTTCCCCGAATAGTTCGATCCTGAATGTAACCCCCGCATTTCCACCCCCAGAATTCCAGATGGCATCCTAGGATGACGTGAGATGACACTCCAATCGGATGTATTCACCAGATGAAAATCCTGGCTGAGCTAAGTGGATAAGCTCTCCCCATAATAGGAGCCCTGGGCCCTTACCAGCAGGGCCCTGTGTTTGTCTGCAGAGTTTGTCTTGTTGGCTTCTGTCTCCTTTCTGTCAGTCATCTTCAGTTCTGTGTTGTTCTGTTGTTTTCACCTCCCCTCATCATCACTACTATCGTTTGTCTGGTTGTGACTGATCTCCCTTTCGCTGGTTCATTTGCTTGTCCGTGACGGTGATCACTGCATCTCACCTGCGATCGCTACCATGTCGCCGCCTAGTGCGATCAATAACCCTGGAGACCCGCTCGCCGAGCAAGAGAAACCCGCCGGTGCCAGAAACACCACTGGGACTGAGGATCCTTTCAGCCACGATGGTGTCGGCGGGGTGAAGTACCGCACTTTGGCCTGGTGGTAAGCGTTCATCCCTTCATCTAGATCCGCTCTTACGGTCCGGACCTAGCTAACTGTTCAGGCAATGTGCAATGAGTATGAGATACCAGTATCCCCAACAGATCACCTCTAACCGCCTGTACAGTCATGGTCGCAGAGACAATCTCCCTGGGCATCCTGTCCCTTCCCTCGGCCGTGGCGTCGCTTGGCCTGGTTGCGTGAGTTATGATTGGTATCACCAACTAAGGGTGGCTTGGTGGCTAACTTAAGCCTTGCATAGAGCCGTGATCCTCATCATTGGCCTCGGTGCTTTGGCAACTTACACGGGCTATACCCTCGGACAGTTCAAACTCCGGTACCCGCATGTGCACAGCATGGGTGATGCCGGTGAGGTCCTGATGGGTCGCATCGGTCGCGAAGTGCTGGGAACTGCGCAACTGCTGTTTCTGATCTTTATCATGGGCAGTCATCTTCTGACGTTCACTGTGATGATGAATACCTTGACTGATCATGGCACCTGTTCTATTGTCTTTGGCGTGATCGGCTTGGCGGTGTCATTCGCCTTCACCTTGCCGCGGACGCTGAAGAAGGTGTCTTGGTTTTCGATTTCATGTAGGTTAATTTATGTAATATTTGTCAATGCAGCAAGCTGACCATGACAGCTTTCATCAGCATCATTGCCGCAGTACTGATCACCATGATTGCAATCGCAATCCAGAAGCCAGGTGGCGGCCGTGTTGATGCCATCGTTGACAACTCATTCTACAAAGCTTTCCTGGCTGTCACTAACATTGTCTTCGCATACGGTATATGACAAAAATGACAAAACCTTTTTGAGTAGAGAGACAAAGCTAACCAGCACAGCCGGGCACGTGGCCTTCTTCGGATTCATCTCAGAAATGCGTACGCCGACCGACTACCCCAAGACATTGTACATGCTGCAGGGGATTGATACGTCGATGTACACCATCTCAGCAGTCGTTATCTACCGCTATGGCGGAAGGGACGTGGCATCACCGGCATTGGGATCGACCAGTCCGCTGATGTCCAAGATTGCCTACGGCATTGCTATTCCGACGGTAAGCCTAGCCTTCGAATACAGTTGCATGCAACGCTGATAGAAACATAGATTGTGATCGCTGGCGTGATCAATGGTCATGTGGCATGCAAATACATCTACGTCCGTTTGTTCCGGGGAACCGACCGCATGCACCAGCGCGGACTTGTTTCGATTGGAACGTGGGTGATTATTGGGTTGGTGCTGTGGACTCTTGCGTGGATTATTGCTGAGGCAATCCCTGTGTTCAACGATTTGCTGAGTTTGATCGTAGGTTCTTCTATCGTGTGTTTTGTCGAACAAGGCTAACTGTCGCAGACGGCGCTCTTTGCCAGTTGGTTCACATGTGAGTCCCACCGAGTCTAGAACCATCACTATACTTACCCATGATATAGATGGACTGAGTGGAATATTCTGGCTGTTCCTGAACTGGGGCCGATACTCCTCGTCGCGCCGCAAGATCTTGCTAACCGGTCTTAACCTGCTGGTAGTAGTCGTAGGTGGCTGTCTAGTAAGCATACAACCGATCCCCATCACAATAACATCACCTGTATACTAATCAAACAGTGCGCCCTTGGTCTCTACGTATCAGGAAAATCAATCCACGACCATCCCCGCAGCAGCAGCTTCTCATGCGCCAACAATGCTTGAACCAGCCGGGATCGGATATCTGGGGCCGAGAGCCGAGAGTCGGGTTAGGGAATAGAGGTCGTCAGGCACCGACAGATAGAGTGATGTCAGTCCAAGCAGAGGTGTTCTTATGTACACTAAACAGGCAGGCCTTGTTCATGACCTGTTCATGGGTGAAAGAAGTAGTGAGCCAATAGCTAGCGTCGATATGGCAGCTTGCCACCAGCGTGGATGACGTCGCCGGATCCGTCGGATACGCCGTCTACTTTGACATCATCCCACCAGATACATTAGGATAATGAACAATAAATACAGTAGTCAACGCTCACACAATATGCATTGTAGGAATTATCAAATCGAGCTCATAGTAGCTGTCAATCCGTCATGGAAGACACACGCACGCAAACTGCCTCCCCGGCAGAAGAATCCCGTCGCAGCCATCACTCCAGCAGCACGCTTCCGAACGAGCGCGATGACCAAGACATAGAGAAACAGCGTCTTCACGGTGGCATGACCGAAGGCACAAAGGACAAAGAACCCGACCCCAATATCGTGGACTGGGATGGCCCCGATGACCCAGTATGTCTCCCCGATGCCATCTATACCCCCAAACTCAAAGCTTAAACCACCGCCACCACCGAACCCTAACCACTCACAAAACTATGAACAATAGGAAAACCCTCAGAACTTCCCCCGCCCCCGCAAATGGCTCATAACCATAATTCTCGGGCTCATGACCGTCTCGGTAACCTTTGCCTCGTCCGTCTTCAGCACCGCGTCCACTGTGACCGCGCAACAATTCCACGTCTCCGACGAGGTAATGGTCCTCGGCACCAGCCTCTTCGTTCTCGGATACAGTTTCGGCCCGCTCTTCTTCGGCCCTCTCTCCGAACTCTACGGCCGCAAAACCCCCCTCTTCATGGGGTTTTTCATCTTCGCCATATTCCAAATCCCGGTGGCTGTCGCCCAGAATCTCCAGACGATTATGATATGTCGGTTTCTGGGCGGGTTGTTCGCCAGCGCGCCACTGGCTATTGTCGGCGGTATGCTGGCGGATCTATTCGGTCCTGTGGAACGGGGGATTGCGATCGCGGTGTTCGCGGGCGCTACGTTCGTGGGGCCAGTCGCGGGCCCGATTGTCGGTGGGTTCATCACAATGAGTTACCTCGGGTGGCGGTGGACGGAGTACATCACTGCCATCATGGCGTTCTTTTTCGGGGCCGTGGGGTTCCTGATTGTGCCGGAGACATTTGGGCCGACGTTATTGGAAAGGAGAGCGAGGAGGAAGAGGTTCGAGACGAGGAATTGGGCACTGCATGCTAGATCGGAAGAGATGCCTGTTGATCTGAAGCATATTGCGACTGTCTATCTGATCAGGCCGTTTTTGATGCTCGTCCGGGAGCCGATATTGTTACTCATCACGCTGTACATGGGGTTTATTTATGGGTTCCTGTATCTTTGCTTTGAAGCGTATCCGGTTGCGTTTCAGGAGTTGAGAGGGTGGAATGAGGGGGTGGGCGCATTGCCGTTTATTGCGATTGCCGTTGGGGTGGTGTTTGGGTGCTGTGTTATTGTGTTCTTCACGAAGACGAGGTTTCAGAAGGTGTTGGAGAGGGAGGGTCATGTTGTTCCTGAGGAGAGGCTCATTCCCATGATGATTGGAGGGGTGTTGTTGCCTGCGGGCATGTTTTGGTTTGGGTGGACGAGCAACCCGCACATTATTTGGGTACCGCAGGCCATTTCGGGGGGGTTGTTGGGGGCTGGGATTTTGTTGATTTTTATGCAGGTATGGTTACTTCTTTTCTATGTTTGTTGTTGGTGTGTGTGGGGTGCTAATGATATGGGTATAGGGGTTGAACTATATCATCGACTGCTACAACATCAATGCCAACTCGGCTATTGCAGCCAATTGCTTCTTTCGGTCAGGGCTGGGGGCGGGGTTTCCGATGTTTGCTATTCCCATGGTGAGTTTTCCCTCTTGTCTACAGCTTTACTGGCTGTTTTGGTGAAATAAACATATTGATTGACGATGCAGTTCCATAATCTGGGCGTGCCGTGGGCCATGACGCTGCTGGGATGTCTGACAGCCATATTGTTCCCCGTGCCGATTCTATTCTATATCTTTGGGAGTAGGATTCGGTCGTGGAGTAAGTTTGCGCCGACTGATTGATACCTTGAATGTGCTGTGTGGTGAGATACCTGTGATGTGTTGGTATAATATAGTCTTTATATGCTATAATACAGACTTGATTTTCTACACTTAACGTTACTTTCCCTATTAAATCAACGCTTTTATAAAGGTACTCAGAGGTCGCTCACTGAGTATTCCTTACCATCAGTCAAGTCTCGGTTAGTACTCAGGTCCTACTCGGAACGGGATCTGTCATAAAATACATACATCCTGATCTGCTCAAATCTCAATATATTGTATCATTAGCTTGATAATGCTGAATGGACCAACTACAATATCCATCTCTAATAAAAATGTCTTATTTGACGCAACAATAACTGCGACGGAGACTTGGGAAGCCTTCATATGAAAAGATTTACTAGACACAATAATTTCTATCTATAATAGCCTCGAGGAATCCGATTGGAGCGATGAAAGGGCGTTGGAGTCATGAATAATGGACACTGATATGGACGCCAATATTTCACGGATGATTATATTCACATTAGCGACTATCTTATGTACCGCAGCTTGCAGAGCTACAGCAAAGGCTTTCCTAAACCCTAGGATATCATTTCAAAGAGACCTGTACCGCGGCGCTGCTAACTCACCAGAAATTCGCCTATCCAGACCCAAACGAAAGTACCTTGTTCACATTTCCAATGTATAGGACAACAACAAGAGGTTCAATATTGTCTGAGACAACCATACCAGACAGCTGTATCTCTAAAATTCAGGAACCAAGCAAGATTAACATTGATGTTGGTGCCAACGATCCATGTACAGAGACCACGGCTATCTAATCCTGATATACCTCCTGGGTCCCAGCATCCTGGCTCTCCTTTCCACTCCCAGCCGCCTGCACATCCGCAGCACCTTCCTGCCTTGAAAACTTCAGATCAGAAAGCCCATAAAGCACAATCCCCCCCATCCCCAGAATTGCGCTGATGACCGTAAACACCATCGAGACGATACCTCTCGCCGTGAACCCGTCGGGAATCCAACCGGGCTGTTTATTCTGCCCCTTCAGATCAAGATAGTCCTCTACATTCCCCGCTGCATTCCCCTCCCACGGTACACCCGCTGCCTCGCACGCGGCCTTGTGGTCGGCAGGAATACTTAGCCGATTTTGGATGAGCAAGGGCGCCTCGACGAATGTCATGGCGAGCCCCTGCATCAAGTGCCAGTCAATGTGGCAGTGGAAGAGCCAGACGCCCGGGTTATCCGCGCGAAAGCGCAGGACGACGTAGCCCATTGGCGGGACGACGACGGTATCCCGGCGCGGCGGATAGGTGGGAAAACTGGTGTGGTTGGCTGGGTCGAAGGCGATGGGGTCTGTGGCGTCGGCGAGGGACAGGAAGTCCGGGCCCATGGCTGGGTAGCGGGCGACGACTTGGAAGACGTGCCCGTGCAGGTGGAAGGGATGGGAGCCGGTGTCTTGGTTGTTAAGGATGATTTCGACAATGGCGTTGTGCGGGAGGACTTGCGTGTGGGTATAGTCGCCGTAAACAGTAGGGTCAGTAGCAAGGGTCCCCGCAGAGAGGACAGTGTAGAGAGTAGGCACTTTGGGCGCAGTATAGCTGATATTATTGAGGAAGGCGTAGCCCATGCCTGTATCAAGGTTTTCCATGATAACAGCGACATTGACGGTTAGATCAGGGGTTTCAAGGAGGGGAACGTGATCGTAGGGGACCAGGGTGCCGTCATCGAAGGGAACGAGGTCATCTGATTCGGCGACAGTGATGTTTGCCTGCGGGTAGGTGGCGGAGGAGTCATATTGGAGCCAGTTGGTATTGTTGAGTTGGAGATCAGGGGTAATGGTGTCAAGGAGGGTGGAATCAACGACAGTAACAATAGGGTAGTTCTTGTCTGTTGTGGCCTTGGTAGTAAAGAGAACAGAGTACCGCTGAGCAACAGCGATATAGAGAATGTCTGCAGTGGTAGGCTCAGTGTAGACACCGTCAATTTCGACAATAGTGAGCGGGTGGTCTTCGATGTAGAAGTACTGGGCTGTGAAGGCAGCAATGTTGGCCAGGCGGAGGAGGTAGGTAGTATTAGGCTTGACAGCGATGCTGGTATTCATAGTATCATTGAAGAGCCATGAGTTGGGGATAGGCTCGGCGCCGGTGGGATTATACAGCGACATGAACTCGGGCTTGATGTCCATAGCCAGCTCATGGTACCAGTCACTGAGAGTCACGGTAAACTCCTCCTCGTACTCATTGGCAAACCAGGAGCTGTTATCATGGACAATAAGCGCCTGACGGTATCCATCAGGATAACAGTAATCAGTATGGCAATGATACCAGTAAGTGCCATTCTGGTTGACAGTAAAATTATATGTAATACTCGAACCAGGAGGTACAGGACATTGCGTGACCATGGAAGGCCCATCCATCTCATTAGTTCCGTTCTGGTACATGCCGTGAAAGTGAATACTGGCGCTCTTGTTTTCCAGTCCATTGTACATGTTAACCACCAACTGATCACCCTTATCAACCTCGATGATGGGCAGCGGCCATTGGCCGTTGATGCCGACTACCTGGCGGTCAGCCAGTCCATCAGGATTCGCTGTGACCCAGGTGACATTGAAGTCGTAGACGACTTCTTTGGCAAAGACTGGCATGCTGGCCGCCAGCAGTAGGTAGCATAAGAAAGACAGCATTGTTGAGAGAGAAAGGGAGACGGGGAGGGTGAGAGAAAGAGGAGAGACGAAAGGCCATCCTCCGGAAGAGGGTGGTTTATACCGGCGACGAGGGCGCAGGGAGCGGGATTTTTCAGCCACTGGGCAAATGAGCCCGGGCATATCAGATTGTGCTTGACCCTGCTTATTGGCCCCCCAAAAGCAGATTTTCTAGCGTGGTGGGCCTCATATCCTTGTTTCATCAGATAAGATGCCCAAAAAGGCACTCAAGCCCGCTTAGCCGGTCTATTTAATCAACTCCCTCCCGAACCAGCTCCTCTGCAGCTCAACCAGCTTTCATAACATTCTTTCCCTGTTCGCGCAATCATGGTCAACGTCTTCGCCGTCCAGGTCTTCTTCATCGTCTTCCGTGAGTGTCTCGAGGCAGTCATCATCGTCTCAGTGCTTCTCTCCTTCCTCAAGCAGAGTCTGGGCCAGCCACACCAGGATCAGTCCATCTACAAGCGGCTCGTCCGCCAGGTTTGGGCCGGCTCACTCATCGGCATTCTCTTTTGTCTGATCATCGGCGGTGTCTTTATCGGCGTTTTCTACGGCCTGGGCCATGACATCTGGTCCAATGCCGAACAGCTGTGGGAGGGTATCTTCTATCTGATCGCGACCGTGATCATCACGATCATGGGGCTAGCCCTGCTACGAATCAACAAGACCAAAGAGCAGTGGCGAGTCAAGATCGCCAAGGCCCTCGTCGACAAGAGCAAGAACCACAAAAAGTCCAAGTTGCTCGGCGACTGGGCTCGCCGCTACGCCATGTTTCTCCTCCCCTTCATCACCACCATGCGCGAGGGCGTCGAGGCCGTCGTCTTCGTTGGCGGCGTCTCGCTCGGCTACCCGGCCACTGCATTCCCCCTGCCCGTCTTCACGGGAATGCTGACGGGGGTGACGTGCGGCTACCTGATCTACCGCGGTGGCAACGCCATGTCCATCCAGCTCTTCCTCATCGCGTCCACCTGCGTGCTGTACCTGATCGCGGCAGGCATGTTCTCCAAGGGGATCTGGGATCTGCAGTACTACCAGTTCCAGATGGCGGTTGGCTCCGATGTGGCAGAGGAAGGCAGTGGGCCGGGCTCCTACGACATCCGCGAGACTGTCTGGCACGTCAACTGCTGCAACGCCGAGACCGACAACGGCTGGGATGTGTTTAACGCGATCCTTGGCTGGGAAAACACCGGCACGTATGGCTCTATTATCTCGTACAATGCCTATTGGCTCTGCATCCTCCTCTGTGTTGCCTACATGCTCTGGGAGGAGCGTTCAGGCAAGCGGTCCCTGCGCGAACGGATCCTAATTGTGCTGGCGAAAATCCCGGGAATCAAGTGGTATGCAAAGCCGAAGCTGGACGTCATGCAGGAGGACTCGGAGGAGATCGTGCGCGCGGCCCAAAACGGGCTGTTTAACGAGGGACAGGTCGAGAAGCAGACGGTGCAAGTGGAGTTGAAGTGAACGTAGGGGGGTGGCAATTGAAAATGGGCCCATCCCATGGGCAGGCCGGGTAGATAATCATCACTCCAAGCGCTCTTGGTTAGGGTAGGCATGTTGAAATTTCATTTTCGGAAGCCATTACTGTAATACTTACATTTCACTCCAACAACTACTACAAATCTCTTACATCAGTAATAGAAAGGGGCTAATCCTGACTTGTCATTGGTTAATGTAGAGTAGACACCAGCCTAACAGAGCTGGTGAATTTATGAAGAAACTAGCGTGTTTGATAACTTACACAATATCAACCCGTTACATGAAATTTGACAAATATGTATTACATGAAATTGATTACACTCCGCCAATCCTACTCTTGGCTCAGAACCAAGCCTCCACAAAGGCCCACTTTGTCTGTCCAGGCACTCTTGTATCGTGGATGGATTTTGTCATCATTTTCTGCTGGCTCCGGACCCTGAATGATTTCGGACACCGGTCGGGCTTTACACGCGTAGTACCGTTTATCTCGGGCGTTACAGCGGACTTCGGTACCTGATAAGAGATCCTTAATCTGATCTTCGGCGATAGATTCCTAGCGCAGTCGGGCTTCGGCCGTCGGAAGTTCGGGGCCCATTATTAGGGCAAAGCTTCACTGATTGATATGATTGATTTCTGGTATCAATCTAATCTGACTATCTGATTTAGGCAGCACCTCCGTGCTCCCTCTTGGGACAGAGTCGGAGGGGCACACGACACTGGCATATGCATGGCACAGCGTGCTGCCATGGCCTCGCTGTCTTGCTCTCGCCGGGAATCGGGCGTGGGTGGCCAAGGATCTTGACCCAAGCACGGAAACGGGGCTATTAAGGCAGCTTTACCGGCTTACGTCTGTCTCCGTTTCATTGCATACTGTGAACCAACTTGATGCGAGCAATGGATCCCACTGTAGCCTGGCCTCGCGTATGCATCATACTTTCTTGCTCCTCATCGGCGTAGAATGATTATAATGCTCTGTCATGTTCGTAGCTTCGTCCGTAGTCGATCCCGTCCGCCTGTAACACATACTTCTCAGTCTGCAACGAATCTTGTGGCCCAGGAACACAAGTACTCCACGATCAAGCAATATCTGGAGGAAGGAATACGATATCCACTCGGCCAGAACCAATACCCACCTTCCTGCAAGGGCTCGGTAAATCTCCCTCTTTCGCCCCGAGAGCAACACAGAATTTTACACAATGACATCTGGGCCCACAACATCTGATACGCATGCTGGTGCCAACAGAAATGATGGCCAAGCTATTTTCAAGCTGCTACTTAAGGAATAATAGTCTGTTCCCTCCCGCTCTAGCGTCTCCCATCAGCGACTGTGGCCCTGTAGAAGACAAAGACTTGCGCGATGAAACCTTCCTGGGCAATTTTGGCCCTCGCCTTTGGCTCGCACGTTGTAGCCAAAGGCTTTTCACCAACCGATGCTGCTGAATATTGCATGTATGCTATCTACGAGTCGTTATCTGAACTTAGCTGGCAGGAATCTGCGAATGAAACCAGCTCAGAAGCCTCGAACTCAGCCTCTCCATGTTCCAACGGTATCGAGGCTACCTCTATCTATGCCTCTGTTGTGGAATACTGCCATGGAACATCATACAGTCAAGGCCTTGTCTTTTGGGATAAGCTTTGTGCTAATCTTGGCACTTCGCTGACGGGCTTGGATGACCTCGAAGCCAGCGTTACTACAGCCTACATTGAACAATTGCCCGTTATCAGCCCAGACACCGCGGGAAAGACTGAGATTTCGACTCCGGTGCTGCTTGAGAAGTCGTACTATTCGCGCGCTGTGCGCAGTGTGGTAAGTGTCGAGCCCCATTATATCTTCTGAACGTCAATCTCACCGCATAGACTGCCAACGAGACTAGAGATAGCAGCTCAATCAACATTGCTTGGGGCATTCATGGCTTCTGGGGCTTTATCGTCCTTACGGGCGTTCTTCATAACGTCTTTTCTACCCTCTCCCGTCGTTGTGCCGGTGCCCAGGCCGGAGACATCGAGAAGCCTCAATCACGCCGCTGGCGAGAAATCATCCCAGCGCCCGTTCGATGGGCTCATGACACTGTCTATACGTATCTGATACTCTCTCCCGCTCTGGGATACAACCACCGACGCCTTCTGGGCTTTAACGTACCCTTACGGGCCCAGGGTCTGACCTTCTTCTTCTTCTGGTCGCTGGCCGTTATCTTGGCTTGCATACACAGTGGTGTCTATCGAGACGATCCTTTGTAAGTCTCATACCTTCATGGATTCTTCTGAAAGGAGTATTTAACACTGTCAGCAACGGAACCTTTGCGTACCAGATCTGGGTGTTCATGGGGCCCAGACTCGGTTTTCTCGCCTTCGCATGTCTCCCCTGGCTGTGGCTCTTTGCCGGACGAAACAACATTTTCATCTGGGGAACTGGCTGGGACTATCAGACTTTCAACCTCTTCCACCGGCATCTCGCGAGAGTCACTGTGATTTATGCAATTCTGCACTCTATCTCGTACACCGTCAAATATCTGGCCTACTGTATGTGCTTTACACAAGCCCGCCGGCCATGCCATGCCATGTTGTCTAACAGCCCCAGCCCCGAGCAAGTACTACAAGGACCTCGAAACAAACTGGTTCCGCTTCGGCATTGTGGTACGTGCACCCCCTCACACGCATCATGCCACATCATCACGACAATATCATAACTAACCCGAACTCAAGGCCACAATCCTCATGTCCCTCCTCATTCCCTTCTCCTCGGCCACCCTTCGCAAGCGCTACTATGAGGTCTTCCTAATTATCCACATCCTCTCCGCCATAGTCATCGTCTGCGCCTTATTCATGTGTGTCTACCCTTTCCTCCAACCCCTCCGAACACCCACTAACAACATCTAACCCTACAGCCACATTTCCAAGTTTGGCACAGAATACACCCCGCACCTCTGGCCAGTAGTCGCAATCTGGTCCTTCGACCGCCTCGCCCGCCTCCTCCGACTAGTCGTTACAAACATCCACGTGCGAAGCCGTAGAGTGTCTCGCACGGCAAGAAGCACCGTCAGCTACAGTGACAAGAGCGACGTTCTCCGCATTGAGATCCAACCCGCCGCGGTCCCGCGGACTCCACGGGCGGGCGACGTGTATTACCTGTACCAGCCACGAAGTTGGCGCGGGTGGGAGAATCATCCATTTACCCTGGCTTCGTGGGCATATGCCGAGGATGGCGTGAAAACGCCGGCTCTGGAGGGGGCCGTGTCCATGCCTTTGGCGGGTGTGAAGGGGGAGAAGGGGCCACAGGTGAAGACGTTATCGGCTCCGGCTCCGGCCCAGCTCGTGGCGACAGGCGGCCAGATTCAAGTCCAGCCCTACCAAGACGAGGTTGTCTCGACGTCGGGAGTATCACCGACAACATTGACCTTTTATGTCCGCCCCTATGAGGGCTGGACGAAGCGGTTGAAGGAGCAATGCCTGCGGTCGGGGTATACATGTCACCCGACCCTCCTTGTCGAGGGGCCGTACGGACACCGGGTCTCGCTGGGCGAATTCGAGCATGTCGTCATGATCACGGGCGGGACGGGGATCAGTGTTGCGACGGCGTATCTGCAGGATCTGCTCGGCGGATCTCGAGGAGACGGGGAGGGCAGGGATGACTACGACCGAAGCCAGCAGATCGATCTGCATTGGACAGCACGGGAGGCAGCGTTGTTTGCTGAGCTGTGTCAAAGGGAGCTTGCTGCGCTCGAGGGGAATACGGCGGTGCAGATGCGGTTCTATTGTTCGAGGGAACAGGGAGTTGAGGGTTTGGATAGGGAGGCCCTGGGCGGGCGGGTCGTTGAGAAGGGGAGGGCTCCGACTCGAGACATTATCTCCAAGGCGGCTGCAGAGGCAAGAGTCAGCTGTGCTAAAGTGGCTGTCCTTGTTTGTGGGCCTGTAGGGATGGCGAACGAGGCGAGGCAGGCCGTTTGTGAAGCGAGGAAAGAGTATGCTGGGGTGGAGTATTTTGAAGAGGTCTATGGGTGGTAGGCGCCGTTTACGCAGTGTGAAATGAAAAGAACAAAATGAAGATCTGGACTGAAACATGTACCTGAAGCTGGCCAGCAAAGTAGAGCCCTGTTCTAAGTATATAGGGAGTGATCTGTTGGGGAGTAGACCATTTTTGTATTACCAGCTCATCATAGATACTGCCGATGCTCTCTTTCAACTGACTGGCTTCGCTCGCGTTCAGCGGCAGCGTGCTCGTCTGCTGGGAAATCTCCGTAAAAATCCCCTCCGTTACATGCCGATTACCCTGGTAGTACCCTTTGCACCCAGAATTTCAGTTGCAGCGTAGATTGATGTACCCCTCTTGCTGGGAGGTGAGGTAGGCCATTGCCTCGTTGCCCCCGTTGAGCTGGGGTGGTGAGCTGCCCTGGTTCGGCGGTGATCTCACGGGATAAGTTGATGATGTTAAGGGCTCGGTCCCAGCTAGAATGTGTGTTATTTAGTGCTTGAGAAGACAAAGCAAATGGGGAGAGAAGCGACTCGAATACCTCTTCCTTGACCCATTCGGTGTGCTCTTCTTGCACTTTGGCCATTACGATGACATTTTCGCCTATGCCCACGGACTGGCGCGGCTTCAAGTCTGGACCATCTCGTCTCCATGGTGTTTGGAGGATGGAGATACTGTTTGGCGCGGTATTGCTCGCTGAGGCCCTGGAGATGGGCATGGAGTACGAGATAGGGGAAGAAGAGGGCCAGAACACAGCAGAGGAGCAGCCCTGAGGGCGGTTCCACGCCGGTTTTCGTGCCGTCTTAAATTCTGTAAGGAGGTGGACTGATGATGGAGGCACCGTGAGAAGACTGTAGGAAAGTAATAGCTGTAAGTTATCATGATGGATGATGGCATACACAGTTTCCCTGCTCGTACTCACATCGGGGTTGCATGATTTATGTCTACTGTCATTGGCTCCACACCAAAGGATAGTCGGAAGCTTGGTACTTACCAAGCTCATCGACCCAGCAGCATATGTAAATTTCAAGCCCTACAGGGCTCCACCTGCGACGCTGTAGGCATCCGGCAGTAGAGTCGGGAGATGTAAATTCAACTTAAAAATTCGTGTAACGGATCTTTGGCCTTGTAAGGCATAAAACACGCTGGTCTGTAAATTAGAGTACTAACTCTATCAGGCGCTATCTCAGCATATTTTAGCCAATTAAAGTTTTAAACTGGAATCTTAAATTACTTACGTAATGTAATAAAATCATCAGTGTTTTTTGTTTCAGTGAAATTTCAACATCTCCAGGTAGTGAAGCCGGGTAAAAGAAAGAAAAAAAAAAAAAAAAATAGTCTCTTTCTACTGGTCAGGCCAGCCAAGCAGCGGAGCTTCCAGGCATCGAAGTTTCCCTCGCTGGCCGTTTTAACTCCCTCCTGCCCGCCCCCCCATCACCCCTTTTGGCCGGAATTTCGGCTGTCCGAAATCACCTTCTTCTTGGCCTCTCCGCTTTACATGATTTGACCGGAAATGGCATCCCACATAGTGCCTGAGCGGCCTGCGGTATGTAATAAGTCGTCTACGATATGATTTGGGGCTAATCATGTGTGCTGTCGCCGTCCAGTGCGACCTCTGCCACAACAGAAAGGTTAGTCATCGGCCCATCCATCGACTGCCACAGAATGCTTAAGGCAGGACAGGTGAAATGTGACCGTTACGACCCGTGCATGAACTGCGTTGATGCGCGCACAGAATGTCGTCGCACACGGCCCCGACGCAGTATGCGTCCTAGGGTTTCCCGGTAAGTCGGGGCGGTTCCTGCGCATCCTTCACTGCGCCTAATACGCCGTCCATCAGCATTGCAAGGCTGTCGGAGAGGCTCTCGTCGGTTGAGCAGTTGGTTCTCAATCCTCACCCCGGTGCTCCCGCTTCGCAGCCTGTCCTTGATCCGCGAGAGGAAGCAGAGCACATTGCTCGAAGCGGTCGAACCTCGCAAGCTCCCAGCTCGGAGGGTTGGAGCGCGCGAGCCAAAGAGAGCGAGAGCACCGCTCACCCGGCAGCCACCGCAGAAGACACATCGATGCAGCCAGCGAACGAAGCCCGGCGCTTCATTCAGCAAGAGCTGCAGCGCAGCGACCATCTATCTTCGCTCCAGCGCGCCGTGTTGGAAAATGCACTGTCGCTGGTTAACAGGCTCTCAACCGCGACATGTGATTCGAAAGTCTCGTCTGCAGGACACGCGCAGGCCTTAGAGGAACAAGATGAGACAACACAGGAATTCTCAATAGAGACATACTACATGATGTCGAAGCGTTCGTGTTAACATGACCTTTTGTCTGGACCGCTCCTAACCTAGAGCAGATATGGTACATCAGACTTCGCCGGGGAAGCACATACACTGGCCCGACCACGTCTCGGTCAAGGGGCTGGAGCACATGAGCCTGTCCCTGGTTGAGGGAAAGCTGGATAGGCAGACCTCTTTGCACTACCGCGTGTGTGTATACGTCAAAGCTATCTTCTTCCTGGCGCGGATCCGACAGCCACAACTGACGCCGCGGTTGCGCTCGCATATGAAAATGAGCCATGCAAAATACATGACGGCGGCATCCAGGGCGCTGGAGCAGATTAATTTGACTGGGAATCCCTCCAGTTCTCTCATACAGGCTCTACTGTCCGGAGTAAGTGCTGCCCTACATGCTTTTTTTTTTTTTTTTTTTT